CAACTTCCAAACCCTTTCCTCACCCCGTTGCAGTTGAAGAGATTGACCCTAAGGCCCGGGAAAGTGGCGGCGACTGCTCTCGCAGAGCTGGGACCAGTTGCCAAGAAGCCTCCCGACCTCCGTCACCATAGCGACTCCCAAGAGCTGCGCTCACTCAGTCTTCCCGCGATACTTCCCCGCCGCGCGTCACCCGAGCGGGCCCGAGACTCCGCCCGCAGCGAGCCCGCCCTCTCCTTAAGGGCCGTTATTGGACGACTGAGCCCCGCCTCCAGCTGTGGGCGGAACCCCTTTTTCTCCCTCTTTTTCAGAACTCGCCAGGTTGTTTGTCTTTGTTTAATTTTTTAAATACGAGCGGTGTTGCCGTAAGCCATCAGGAAAACATTGTTTCGCTCTGCTTCTTCCCTTAGTAGGAACGTGTCCTGCCGCCTGGGTCCTGTCGCCTGCTCGCGCCTGCGCGTGAGCGACGAGAAGATGGCGGTGATAATCGCCGCATTTTTTTCAAATTAGTGGTTCCCAGAAGGCACTGCGCGCATTTGTAACGAATTTCCGTTCGAGTTTGTATTTTAGGCGCCATTTTCGAGTGAAGGACCCGGAGCCGAAGCACCGGCAGGCGAGCGGGGTAGTGCAGCCGGCCCCGGCCCTGGTCTGGGTGGACCCTCCACAGGTAAAGCCCTGCCTTCCCGGGCCGGGCTCTCCCGCTGCGCCCGCCCGCGCCCGCCCGCGGCCCTGGGGAGCCGAGGCTGCGGCCGGCGCGCTCCGCCGTCCCCCTCCCCCGCGCCCGCGCCCGGCTGGGCGTCGTGGGGCCGGGGCGCTCGGCCCGCGGGCTCCGGGGCCAGGGCGTTGCCCGGTCCCCGTCGCGGGTCCGAACCCTTCCTGCTGCCCCTTGTAGCTGGTTCACCCGCGGGCTTCTCCCGGCCCGAGGGCCGGACCCGCCGCGCGTGGAGGGGAGCGGACGAGCGGTTCTCCCGCGCCGAGAAGGGCGCCGGGACGTCCGCAGACACCTCTGCCGTGGGCTGAGGGGGCGTTACGGAGCGGGAGGGCCGGAGCGGTCCCGACCCGTGCCGGCGCGGGGCTCGCGGGCCGCCCCGCTGACTCTCCCGGCCTTCCCTCGGCCCTAGCCGCCATGCCCCGTAGAGGCAGCCAGCCGTCCACCGCCCGGCGCAGAGAGGAAGGGCCGCCGCAGGCCCCGGACAGCCCCGGCCGCGCCGCCAGCCCGGCCCCGGAGGCCGCAGGTGAGTGACCGGGGGACGGGGGCTGGGACTGGGGGACGGGGACAGGGCGCGGCGGCGACCGGGGGATGGGGACTGGGACCGGGGGACGGGGACAGGGCGCGGCGGCGACCGGGGGACGGGGGCTGGGACCGGGGGACTGGGACAGGACGCGGCCGGGACCGGGGAACGGGGACAGGACGCGGCCGGGACCGGGGGACGGGGACAGGGCGCGGCGGCGACCGGGAGACGGGGGCTGGGACCGGGAGACGGGGACAGGGCGCGGCGGCGACCGGGGGACGGGGGCTGGGACCGGGGAACGGGGCCGGCGTCGGAAGGGCGCGCGGCGGCCCGGGGAGCAGCCCGGGGAGGCGACTCGGCCGTTTTCAGAGAGGGCCGGCGTCGCGGCGGCGGTGCTGGAGGGGACGGGCGCGAGTGAGCGGCTTGGCGGGTGAGTGTGTGGCCTTGTCCGTCACGGGAGGTGGCGCGGCGCGACCTGACCTCACCTCCGTGCTCTGAACTGCGTTTACAAAGATAATTTACTCGAAACTACGTAGCTTTTGTGAGTCCAGGAGTTGGATGACTTTATGAAACTCCTGTGACCGCGTCGCTGGCGCTCGTGAGTGTCCCAAGTTCGGGCTCCCGGTGCTCAAAGACACGGAGAGAGTTGGATTCAACCTCCTGTTTAGGCGGGAGCGGGGCGTCAGGTGGTGGTTTTCCCGGAGACGCTTTATGAGGCGGTGTTTTGATTCCTGAGAGGTACATATCTATAGAATTTTGTGAGTGGTGGCATTTCTTTGAAGAATTTCTTTTTTTGTAAAACCTAGCGGAAAGATTCTTATCCTCAGTGAGTTTAGGATGATACTAAATGTAAGTGGGAACTAGAGATTCCTAAGTTCCTAAATAACGTCTCTCCAGAGGTTAGCAGGCAGTAGTCCTCCGAACTGATTGCACTAATGGCAGGCTTTTTCCCTTTGCCTGACTTAGAGACTCCAAGTGAGGAGGCTGATAATAGAAGTTTAGAAGAGATTCTGAATAGCATCCCTCCTCCCCCGCCTCCAGCAATGACCAATGAAGCTGGAGCTCCTCGGCTTATGATAACTCATATTGTAAACCAGAACTTCAAATCCTATGCTGGGGAAAAAATTCTGGGCCCTTTTCATAAGGTATTTGACCATTTGAAATGACTACTATAAGGTAATGCGTCTTTATAAGATGTTCCAGTTTTGTGACTATTGTATTTATCCTAATCTACACACACACACACACACACACACACACACGGCATGTTATCTATGCTTTCGACAACTGAATTTAGCTTTTATCTGGTTATCTTTGGTACCTCTTTATGCTGTGAAGTGTTCTTTGCTGAACAAAATTGGTGAGCTTTTTGTTTGAAGGGCGTATTTTCTCTGTTAGAATGAATTTTGTAGAAAGTCTGGGTTAGAATATAGTCTTGTTTAAGGTGTTGAAGCTTGTGATCGAGGAGAACATGATGTAAGAAAGCTTAAGTTGTGTTCCTCTAGCAATGAAAACTTAAATATTGCAGTTTTGCTGCAAGTTAAAAAAATCGAGCAGATTAAAATAAAATCAGTAGTATTAGTATGACTTTTTTAACTTTAATTTTTTTTCTGTTGTTTTTATGCAGCGCTTTTCCTGTATTATTGGACCAAATGGCAGTGGGAAATCCAATGTTATTGATTCTATGCTTTTTGTGTTTGGCTATCGGGCGCAAAAAATAAGATCTAAAAAACTCTCAGTGCTAATACACAATTCTGATGAACACAAGGATATTCAGAGTTGTACTGTAGAAGTTCATTTTCAAAAGATAATTGATAAGGTAAGGGACTTGGACTAGTTATTTGTAATTTCAAGTAAGGAACACAAAGGATTTCAATACATTGAACGTTTTATTATTTTTGGCTTAAATTGGCTTTCAAATATTAGTATATGGTTAAAGCAGAACAGATACTGATTTCATTACCTCCGTGACCATATTTTCTTTCTGAGGCGTGGTGGTGACCACTGTTAAACTTAAAATATTAAAATTTTTAGCCAGGGAAATGAATTATAAGTAGCTCATAGTAGTGCTTACCTTTTTGGAATAAAACATTGAGTAGTTTTGGTATCCTAAGTACTAAGTAGGCATCCATTACTGTAAATTTTGGGTTTGTTTTAAAGTTAGATTTTTATTGCTTTCAAATAAATTACCTAAACTTAAAAATGTAACCGTTGACTAATTTTACTACATTATTTCAGTTCACATTAAACTTAACGTTGTTAGTAGTTGCGTGTATCTGGTATGAAAGAGCTTTGCTTCAGTTTGAGCTACATTTTTTAAAAAAGGGGAAGGGTCAGGCTAACGCTTGTTTTCTACAAGAGACGATTATAGGTAAAATGTCTGTTTAGATTATTTACACCATTCTGTTGGTATTAGGTTTTTTCCTCTTCTGTTTAATAATTAACTTGGAAATTCATGGTTCAGAAATGACTGGCTGGAACCTAAAAATATAGAAAACTAACAACATAATGAAACAGGGGTGTGACTTGGCTTCTAGATTTTGTTTTTAAAGTTTTTTTTTTTAATATAAAAGACTTCAATTAAATACACAGTGGCATCTATTTTAATTTTGTTTCTTAGTGTTTTGTTGTCCATTTTGGGTTGGAAAATAGATTGCTAGTAAATCAGATTTGATTCCATTACCTATTAATTTTATTCCTGTAAATTTTAAAAGTCATGATTTCAAAATGACATAGCTTTTAAGGGAAGGCGAGTTTTAATATTAAAGTAGATTTGCACTTCATTTTTTAAAAACCTGTTTGATTTGAAAAATGGGGGAATGTATTTGTCAATTAATTTGCCATTTTTTTACCTTCAATTAATGGCATACTCTTTATCGGAGGGAAGGGGGGCATATCAGCCCATTATTACCTTCCTTGTTCCTTGAATCATCTCTTGCAGCTTTTATAAATGGACTGGTAATTTATTGTGTCAACATGGTTTAATTTGGGTGAGTTTGTTTTGGATATGGTCAAATTCTTGTCCCCCTTCATCAACTCTTTCCCAGTCTAATATATTTTTAGGCTTATTTGGAGGTGGAGTGTTTTGTTCTGTTTTAGGGGTTTTTTTATTTGTTTGGTTTGGCTTTTTAGTTTTGTCGTCTATGAGGAAAGGGATCAAACAACTTAGAAAAGTATCTATTCTTTGTTAAGAAGGTACTTCTGAGGTTTGCCAGTTTATATGCATGTTCAATTGAAGTTTTTAGACTATAGAATTAGTTTCAATATGAAGTGAGTGAAATTTGGAGCAGACCTACGACTTAATACCAACAGTTGTTTTCTGGTTTTGTTTTTCCTCAAAACAGGAAGGGGATGATTATGAAGTCATTCCTGACAGTAACTTCTATGTATCCAGAACGGCCTACAGAGATAATACTTCAGTCTATCACATAAGTGGGAAGAAAAAGACATTTAAGGATGTTGGAAATCTTCTTCGAAGCCATGGAATTGACTTGGACCACAATAGATTTTTAATCTTACAGGTAAGTTTATTAAAGACTTCAGAAGATCTCTTATTGTTGCTTTTTTTCAATAAAGTTTAGGGAGGTTTCCCCTGTTGGAGGAATTTTGTATTTTTGAGGCCTTAAAGTACTGTAGCAGCACATCATGGTTTACATACTACAGTCAAGATGCGAATCATTATTTGCTGCTCTAGAAATTTAAGGAAATTCATTCAAAACTATAATTTCGTCATGAGATGATCATTTTATGTTTGGATGGACTGACATACTTGTTCCGCTCTAGCAGCACGTAAATATTGGCGTAGTGAAATAAATATTAAACACCAATATTATTGTGCTGCTTTAGCGTGGCAGGGATACAGCAACTATTTATGATGTTTGTATTTCCCTTTAAGATAACATTTTAAATGAAATTCATTATCTTTTATTAGTATTTTTCCTTTACTTCTGTTATTATCTCTGCTAATATTATGTAGCAAAAAAATTCTGTATGTTTGATGTTGGACAAATTTACCTGAGCACCTAACTAATTTAATCTTGTTTTAATGCTTAGAGTGGTTAACTAAAAGCTTACTCAAGCTGGTTTTCATTTTGGTTAGAATGGCCTACTTCGACTACTACTGGAAGATCAGAAAGTAACTCTATTTCATTCTTAAGTATGAATGAAAACTTCACAATTCTTAGTATTTTTAAAGGGGTATAAAATTAAGTACCTGGTATTAAGTTGATTTTTATTAGAAACCATACATTCTTTATTTGAATGAAGTTGTATTCTACCAGTGTTGCTTGATAAGAAAAATCCTTATCTTCTCTGTATCTTATTTTCAAAAAGGTTTTTAGTCCAAACCATGGCTTTGTCAGACATATTAAAATTCCTTTTTGATTTGAGGCTTTCTTCTTTTCCCATTTCCTATCCAAAATCACCAAGAACATAATAATAAAAGCAAAACTATATTGTGATGTAGAAATAGCTGCTAATATTTTTTACTGTCTTGTGCTGCTGATTTTAAACTAAGTTGGGGATTTTGATTGGATAACAAAAGTTTCCTTAGGGTGACTGAGTGTTCCCAGGAACAAACTTATAAAATGTTAGTCCCTATTTCCATTATAGTCTTTATTTTTTCAACTGTTCTTTATAAAGAAAGTATTACTTTTAGACATAGACATAGTATGTGTACAAAGTAAATCAATATCATTCTAGAATAACTTATATTAATATCCTTTGTTATCAAGCACAGTATTTGTGATGCTTATATAAGCCAAACTCATTTAAAAATGAATGCTGGGAAGTTAGCTGCAGATATATTTCTAAACAAGATTTATATTTACATAAATGTCGAATTAAAGCTTTGTGTGTTTTGGAGTTTTTTTTAATTTAACTTTTATGACTTTCATATTCTGGGGTTTGATTAATTATGGATAACAAGTTATGTCCTTCTATAATACTAAATTTTTATAATTCAGTAATAAAGGAAGCTAAATAAATAACAACTTTCCAAAGAAGTAAATAAGAATAATTTTTAAATTGTCGACTTTATATTAAACATGTGCTTCTGAAGTACCTAGGATGCTTAAGCCATTTTTCCTCATAATAATCTCAACCTTTTTATGTCATCTTAACACTTAAATTGTTTGAAACATTTTTAATACGAAGGTAAACTTTCAAGTTAACAGATTCAATTCCATTTGATTAAATTTACTGATAATTTACAGATAAGAACCTTAGGACCTTACCTGTTAGGAAGAAGAAACAGAAATAGGACTAGGTAGAACTAATGACACCCTGTTTAAAAGTTTGAGGGAAAGTGGCAGTGGTTTGTATGGATTTTTATTTAGTTCCTTATCAAAATCTTAGACTCCTGCACTAGAGTTTTAAAACATTTGAAGGTGAGTAAGAATACAGTTTTTATTACCTTCTCACCCATCAAATAACTCTTATCTTAAAAACTAACTGGTTTGCAAAGCTGGGAACATGGAAACATCATAATGTAACCATCTAAGACATAAGTGATTACTTGGAATAAAATGTATAGACTGGCCAGTGGTAGTGATTAACAGCTTAAGTAATCTAATTAAAGTAAAATTTATTTTTAAGATTAAAACAGTAAATTTTTGAAGTCCGTAGAGTAAGTTTTTTAGTGTTTATATCGGTTTAGCAGTTTCTTCAGGTAGGCATTTCTAGTATTTTATTTCATTTAAAATTTTATTGGTTAACCGTTCAAATGTACCTAATGAGGCACTATGCTAGGGTGCTGTAAATGATACAAAGATAGCTAAACCCTGTTTCTTGTCCTTAGAGGCAATTATGCATGTCTTCAAAAAGTGTTAGATTAAATTGTCCACTGTACTTTCCATCTTTCTACATTTCCCCGTTTATATATACCTTATTTGGGAGCCTTTGTCCTATTGCAATGACTATTGGTGCACATAGGTAGAGTTTTAATAGCTCTGTATAGCATTTCATGGTAACTGTGACTTGTAAATTAATTGGTTTTGGTGCATGTGCTCCATTCAAGGTTGGAAGAATGATAACCTTAATTTTCTTTATAGTTCAAAGTTGCATTACTGTTGCTACTCACAAGTGTTTTTATAAACTCCTAAAAAGCTACAACTATTAATACAATTTTAGTTTTGTCAAAGTTTTCAACTTCATATGCTTTCTGTCTTCATATTACAAAATCTAAGTGAAAATTTAAAACAAGAACTAAGATTTTTTCTTAGTGTTGAGTTATGTGGAGATTGGATTAGCCTTAGTCTGAGTTGTTTACCTATTCATCTCTTCCTTTTTCTTTCCAGTATACTTCTCCTAAGCCTGGCATGGCATCCAAAGTATTTGGGTTCTAGTCTTTTAGCGTGTAGAAATAAGTCTGTGCTATATCAAAAGAAATTTTTAGCTTTATCAATAATACCTCAGTTATGCAAAAGTGTCTTGTTCAACAGCCTCAACTATGAAAGAAAACAGGAAGCTGCCCCTTAGTAGCCAGAATAAATACCACACAGTCCAGTCGCTAAAGCATTATCCTTTCTGTTTATGTACTTACTTTAGATACTAACCTTTATTGGTCATTTGGTTTCTTGGCCTCTGGTAGCTCACAAAGAGCAAATTAGAATATCCTAGAAGATAAACAACAATAATTTCCAGGGCAGTGAAAAATGGAAAAATAGAAAAATTATCAAGGTAAAATAAAAATTCAAAGCCCAGTAATTCTAAGCCATTTAATTTTGGTGCAAACACCCATATTTATCTTAAAAATCTTTTGGGCCTTATTTGGGAAAAAAGTTTTATTATACCTATGTACTTGAGTTTCCTACAGTTCATGCTTGCTAAAATTTGGATTCCATTTGAAAGAGAGTAGAGAACATCATACCTATTCATTTCTCTTAGATTTTCAAGCTGTATTCCTATAAATTAGATTATCAAAGAATGGTATAACTGAATCACAATATCCTGGTTGGCCGCCCACTTCAGTAAGTTAAGATTTAAGCCCTTGGTGTTATAAATATTCTCTTGAGGTATTTTTTTTATGTTACTCTTAAAAACCATAGTTGATATTTTCCACAGTTGCTTAATGTCTCTGATATAGTATGACCAAATTTAAAATATAGGAAGTCTGTAGTAAATAACTGAAAAAAATACTGTAGTTGTTTCGTATACTTAAACTAGAGATAACAGTGTGGAGGCCTATAAAACTTTGCAAGTTTCAGATGCTAGCATTATAGCAACTTGAAACTTTTTTTGTGTGTCATCATACTACCACCGTATGGGATTTGGAGCCTTGATATGGAAGGGTGACTTTAAATTCAGATTGATGCTTTAAAATTGTTTCTGAAATTTATTGAGCTTATTGCCCTAAATTAAAAACTGTAAGAAATTTCACATGGAATGCGTAAGTTTTCTGAAAAATAAGTGGTCCTCTAGGCACAGACTGTCGATCCACGGATTATGTATGAAATGGCACAAAATGAAAAAAGAAGGAAGAAAGCAAATAGTAGGCTGGCAAGGGACATCAAGGAACAGTCACAGGAAAGGTCCCAGGTTGTCAATGGAGTACCCCAGCAATCCTGATAGTCAAGGAGATGCCTAAGTGTTCTCATAGCCAGTTGAGTCAGTAGTGCTAGTCTGATAATAACTGGTTTAAAACAAACAAAAGGAAGGCCGTATAAGGTAACAGTCTAAATCCGAGTGTTATATGAGATTTGAGGTGGAGCTTATTTTGATTCATAACTGTCCTTGTCTTTAACATTCTTATTTTCAACTAGGCAACCTTGTTAGAGTGAAAAGAAATCATAGCTGTGTATCCTTCATTTGAATTGAGGAGGAAGGAACAAGTAACCAAAAACAGGCAACCATTATGCTTTACCCAAAGCTAGGCAGTCTCCTAATAGCGGTATTCCACCTCTTCAGTAAGTAATTTGGACAGGAAAAGTGTCGTGCCTTTATGAATATTTTTATCAGTGTAAACTGTTACAGTGAATCCCACCTTTTGGTTATCCAAAAATAGTACCTTATGACCATTTGATTCAGATATGTAAGTTCTCTTGGCATAGTTTTTGTTTATCTTAAAATAGGTTTTCAGATATTCAAATTGAACTAGGTAGTGTATTAGAACATCAAGTGTCGGGGCACTGTATTTTATGTTATTTGGATTGTAAACACTAACCCACAAGATGTAAACAACCTTTAGATTAGTGGTTCTCACTTGGGGGTAATTTTGCAACCCCACTCCCAGGACATTTAGCATTGTTTGGAGACAGTTTGAGTTGTTATAGCTGGGGGAAGGGGACATCTAGTGGGTAGAGATTAGAGATGCTATTAAAATCTTATGCCCAGCAGAGCTCCCTAATATCCAGCCCAAAATGTCAGTAGTGTCCTTGGTGGATAAACCCTGCCTAGATAGAAACTTTGAATAAGACTCTTGGCTTCTTCACTGGCTAGAGTTTGTCCTGTTGTAATCCAAAGCTTTGGGCGTCGTTTCAGGCTTAGATCCTGTCTAAAACTTAAACCGTTGCTACACACATTTAGAAAGAACTGATAATTGAAAGCAAAACAAAATGCTTTATATAAGTAAATATCTACATATTTTAAACACTAATTTAGTCAGAATACTAATTTATCCATACTAAAGGTTACAGAGAAAATGACAGGCTATTTAGATACCGTTTCAGTTTGTTTTTGATAATCATGTGCTGTTGTGTTGTCAGAGTACAGAAAAGTGATGATAATGTATAAAACTATTAAAAATTATGCCTTTCGATATGTGGATTAAAAATGAGCTGTTGTATCCTATCTTGTTTTATCTTTAAATTTTTTCCTTTTTATAATTATGTTGAGCCTTTTTGGTAGGTATGACATTTTGTCATTAGCAAATTTTACTCCAAATTTATAAGGTTTGTTCATAAAGAAATATTTTAAATATTTAAATTGAGAAAGAGTAATATGCTCTTTATAATGTGCAATTTTTTCTTTTTTTTTAATCTTTGCTATTTTGCTGAAATGAAAGGGTGTGTTTTTCCTACTTGCCTGTTCCTTTTCTTCTGTTGTGACGGTGTGGTGTGCAAACCAGCTGCTTCCGTGAAGTAAAGTAGCAGCGTTTTGCCTGAGCATGTTCACACAAAGCTTGCTGCATCAAACTAAATGGCTGCCTGGCAGTCAGCCTGGAAGGTTACTGATTGTGGATTTTTTCTTCTTTTCTCTTTGTGAATAAATTGCGTAAATACATATAATGTTAATCTAAGATTTTAATTGGCAGTTCAAAGTTGTAATATGGATGATTGCAAACAAAAGTTTTCCAGTGTCATGTACCAGGACCTTTAGTGTCAGTCAGTTGGATTTCTTCCACTATTACCATGAGAAATAGGCAATTTCCTTTTCCATTTAATGATCTTGTTTTTAGAAAGTTGGAACATTGTTTGAGACATCCTTATGAAATGCAGCACTTGTCGAGGAATTCATGACACCAGGTTTAAAGATAAAGTTTAGTAATACTAACCACCTTGGAACAGGACTCCTACTCAGTTTAACCATGAAGAGTCTTTTTGAAAATTCTTTGTTTTAGAACAGGAGCTCTAATTATATTATAAACGGTTGATAATGTTGCCACAATAATTGAATTGTAGATTACATGAATACCTTACTGAATTTTGCTTAATAGGATAGTTAATAAAAAGTTAATAGTTTTATTTGCATTGAGTATTCATTTATTGAATTTGTTACGTTGAACATTCTAGGTGAGGAATCTTCCTTTGGCTCTGTATGTATATGTGGGTGTATATTATAATTTTATAAGAGTTTATGTAAGGAAGCATAAATATACATTTCTTACTCCCTTAAGTAAAATTAAAACTCTAAGAAGAATATCAGTGGAGAGAACATTTTTATTTGTATCTTATTTAAACTCTTTAAACTTCTGATTTACATTATTTAGTTATTCATTACTATTGAGTTTGTTAATTGACTGTTCCTGATTCTCACTTAAGATTGATGTAGCTAAACATACACAATGAGTGTGAAATATGATTTTTTTAAAGGGTGAAGTTGAACAAATCGCTATGATGAAACCAAAAGGCCAGACGGAACACGATGAGGGTATGCTTGAATATTTAGAAGATATAATTGGTTGTGGACGGCTAAATGAACCTATTAAAGTCTTATGTCGGAGAGTTGAAATATTAAATGAACACAGAGGAGAGAAGGTGAATCTTCTGTAGACTTTTGTTGTAAATCAGAATATTTTAATGATTAACAAATTTTACTTAGTCAAATATTTGTTATAATAGATCATAATTATTACTGACAAATGTTCACTGTTTTAGATTTAATTTTATATTTTTCTTATTGACATTTAAGGTGAGCATTGTTTTATTAGTATAGTTTATATGTTTTTGTCTGGCATATTTTAAATTCAGATTGTACATAAGATGTGTATTTGAACAATCGATACGCTTAATTTTTGTAGTTAAACAGAGTTAAGATGGTGGAAAAGGAAAAGGACGCCTTAGAAGGAGAGAAAAACATAGCCATTGAATTTCTTACCTTGGAAAATGATATATTTAGAAAAAAGAATCATGTTTGTCAATATTACATGTAAGTACCTTAGTTTATCAATTTTTGTATTCGTTTCTGACATTATCAAAGCCATTCTCTTTTCCTATATTAGAGAAATGTAAAGACTGAGGTGAAAAAAATTCTAAAATTTGTTTTAAGTGTTGAATTCATTGAATTAGGGTTTTTTGCCATAGTATTGAAGTTGACTTTCAAGTATCCTACTTTAAGTTGGGAGGTGGGTTCACAAGTATTTGTTACTGTACTTAATAGTTTACATATACGTTCTTTTTAACGTATGTAATAGCAAATCTAATTTTGTTAATATGGAACCTATTTTGTTCCTAATTCTAGCCTTGACCGTGGGTTAGGGTTTTTGCCTTCTCAATAACCCTACGTAATTAATTGTAAACTGACTACAGTTAAGAATGCTTTAGAAACAGCTGATTTTACTAAAATAGTTGTATAATTTTAGAAGTAGAATTTTAGGATCTCCAATCCCTTTTCTTTCCTCCCTCTAGTTATGATCTGCAGAAACGAATTGCTGAAATGGAAACTCAAAAGGAAAAGATTCATGAAGATACCAAAGAAATTAATGAGAAAAGCAATATACTGTCAAATGAAATGAAAGCTAAGAATAAAGCTGTAAAAGACATAGAGAAGTAATACTCTTTTGGAAAGTACTAAAAGTATTTAGATTCAGTTAATTTTATTACCTGTATGTTTGTCTATACATAAACTTACTGCCAGCACACATGGGTGTCATACATTTGCCAGCATATAAAATGGTTTTCTTTTGCAAGCAAAAAATTTAATTGCCCTGCATCCAGTTCATCATTGGTACAGAGTGAGTGCCCACCACTGAAGTCTTAAAATAATGGAAGATGCTACCCCCTAGTGGCAGAACACAGTAACACGAAACGTCACAGCAGAAATAGGAATTTGACCCGAGGAGGTTACTTGTCAGGAATAAACAATCCACAGATCTAATTGATGTAGAATTGGGGTTAGAATAGATAGATTTTTTTACATTTTCATTATGACCTTTCTTTGTGTCAATATTCAGTGACACCAATATCTTACCTATGCAGTTTCTTTTTCTTTAAAATGAGTTTTACTTATTTTTATGGTAAAGTTTTTCTGTATGTAGATATTATAGTCACTGGAAAATGTAGTATTTCTTATCCAGCTTAGAAGGGCGAAATAACTCTCATAATCGCACATTTTAACAGTTCCCTCAAATAGGGGGTGAGTGGAGGATCAGCTTGATATAGGTAGTTTGAAGATCATACCTTATAAGAGGTTGGTCACATTCACAGAAGTGTCTCAGACAGGGTATGTAATATGGCTTTAAAATACGTGAATATCTAAAATAGTGACTGATAAGTTTTCTTGCTTTGCTAGGAAACTGAATAAAATTACAAAATTTATTGAAGAGAACAAAGAAAAATTTACACAACTAGATTTGGAAGATGTTCAAGTTAGAGAAAAATTAAAACATGCTACAAGTAAAGCCAAAAAACTGGAGAAACAACTTCAAAAAGATAAAGAAAAGGTAGGTTTGAGGGAAAAAATTCTTAAAATATCATGTCTGAATATCAGATCCAGTTTTCATTATTTTTCATGGATTTTCTTGCCCATTATTACCTAAGATGATGAGTTGGGATTCTGAGTGTTAGTGTTAGAGTTTGTCTCCGAACCTGATTTTTTTCCACAGGGACGTCTTGCATCCATTGACTTTGAGTTTTAGTTTATGTTACTATGATACACGTTGGGAAAACATTTACTAAATAATTAATTCAACCTTGGTGATAAAATTTTCTTTTCTCCTAGGGTAGTGGTTTAAAAAGATATTTTGGTTATGTATTATAGACTTGTAAAAACATTACCTGCCTCCTACAAAAATCAAGTTAAACATATCGGAGCAGGAGTTCCTCCTTAAAAACGAGGGAAGAGGAAGCTCATAATTTACAGCAAGAGATTGATAGCTATTCTGAGGTTTAAAAAAGATAAAATTTGGACTAGAATGTCTAATTTGCTAGAAGCGAGACTCTAATTAACTTGGGACCTTTCAAACTATATTCCTAGGTCTATCAGATATCAGTAGATATGACACCTAAATCACCTCCCCCCAGAAAAGCTTTGTACCCTATAATTACATGGTAATTATAATACAGGCTCTGCTTTACCTTATGAGCATTTTCCAAATCATTTGTTTACAAAATACTTTCTCCTCAGTATGGTAACAAACCTTATGTGAATCAATGTTTTAGGAACAGTATTTCAGGAAGTGTTGAACTTCTCTGGTACTAGATAATTAGAATAAACAAAATAACATGGATTTGAGAGTAACCCCTAAATTGGACAGGCCAAGCCAAATGTTACTGTTATTGGAGGTATTAGCCTTTAGGCATCAAATGTAGATAAGTGATTGTTACCAGAAGGTATTAATGGAATAAAATGTTAGCCTACATCGTGACTCTGGAAGGGTAAAGTCATGAAAGATCTTAGAATTTGAGGGAAGCTGGAGGGCATAAAGGTAATTTGTGGTAAGTTGTAATATACCATGATGGGTAGTTTATAAGATTATGTGGAATTAGGAAATTCTGTATAGTCAGAGCGTATTAACAGGTAAAGAAAGATCATTGTAGGCTGAACTTAGAACCAGAAGGAATAAAGACCTAATGCCCGGCCAGGGAGAATTTTGTTTACTTAAGGTATCAACACATCATAGAATTAGACTGAGAGACTCTAGAAATTGCAGTGAATGGTTAAGAAAGTACTTACTAAAGCCACCTAGTTCAAATCTGATTACGAAGAAAGCTGCGAAGACCCCGAGAAATGCTTTTAAGTAAGTCAAATATTGATGGTATTGGATAGCCTAAAGGTACATTGTCCGGTAAGGTTGTTTTATAATCTTAGGTTGAAGAATTTAAAAGTGTACCTGCCAAGAGTGAGAATATCATAACTGAATCGACAGCTAGAAGCAATGCCCTTGAGAAGGACAAAGAGAAAGAAGAAGAAAAACTAAAGGAAGTTATGGACAGCCTTAAACAGGAAACACAAGGACTTCAAAAAGAAAAGGAAGTAAGATTCTTTATGAGTTGTTTATTTTGGTGTCTTTTTTTAACTTGAAGATTGTTTCTGTAGTAATAGTAGAAACTGAACTATTAGAAGAAGTTTGAACATTCCCAACATTCCTAGCTAGATTCCCCTTCTTTGCTTTCTGCTGTCCCATTTTTTAAAAAAGTAACTGAATGAGAATTTATAATGGTAATGAAAATGGGACACGTCAGATACTTTGTTATATATGCCATTCTTTGTTAATCGTGTTGATTTCATCATCAAACTTTTTCATCATCGCTTAAATTATTTTCGTGGTAACTTAAATTGGTTACCACCTATTAAAAACCTGGGACCACACTAACCACAGGCTGACATCTCCCTTTGCTTCTGTAGCTCTTGTGTAATAGTTTAAAACCATGGCTCTTATGTCAGTTTTTGATTCAAATCTAGGTCTGTCACTTATCTCCGATCTTGTGCAAGTTATTATGTCTCCCACTCATCTTCCTCAAAATGGGGAAGGAAATATTACCCATTATGTGACTCTCTGTGAAAATAAAATGTATATATATTTGTGTAAGGTGCTTAGAAAGTAAAAAATTAATAAATGTTAGCTATTACATTATTTTAGCACTTCATTAATAAAACAAGAGAGCTGACGTTATCACATTGATATGTCTTATCTACCCAATAAGAGTATAAGCATGAAGTTTAGCTATCTTTATTTATACTCACCACAGCCTTTTTGACAACACTGAGCATGTTAAATATATATTTTAATAGATAACAGTAATTGAGTTGACTTAACGTAAGTCAGTTAGGTTATTTAAGACTTAGGTACATAAGTTACAGACTTGTGTACAGCCTTTCTATGTTAGTTATACCTCAATAAAGTGGCTTCTGTTTTTTTAAGTTACAGACGTAATAGATTCTGTTTTGGAAAATGGACGTGTTCTTAATGTCACACTACAAAACTTTGTAAGTAGGATGCCCATGTGATAAAGTGACAATGGATAGTACAGTAACTTTCTTGACAAAATACTTTATAGATGGAGATTTTCACATTTGTTCATCTAACATAAATTGAGTATGCCTGTGTGCCTTGGCATCCTGTGTTAATGACAAAGCCAGGACTCACATCCAGATGTCTTCTTTCCTCAACATAGTGTAGTAGCTAAAAACAGAGGCTCTGCCACTTACAAGTGAGTGCATGACTTTTGAGCAAGTTATTTAAACTTGGATCTCAGTTTCCTCAAAATGTGCATAACGATGGTATTTACCTCATGGGATTGTTATGTTAAGGAATTAATATGTACAAAACATTCAGAACAGTGCCTAGAACATAGTGAGCAGTGCGTGTGTGTTAATGTTCATGGTATTCACTATCACACATTTAAACTGATTAATATTCCTGGGCCTGTTCCCTTGTGTGTAAAATGAAAGGGCTGGGCTTTTGTAAGGGCCTTTCTTATGCCATTATTCTAATAAATAGATCCTTTCTACACAGTCAATTATATAGCCCAAAGTTTCTACTTTCAGATCATGACTAGTGTTGAGGATTACCTGGCCTTACCTCTAAAACTTTTTCAACATAAAAAGATTTTCAACATAAATATACTTGAGGAACCTTTCTGCTGAATAGTCCTTATACCCCACTATTTCTGGTAAGATAATGTGGAACAACCATAGAATCTAGAGTTTAGACCCAAGTTTTTGTTCTCTTTCAACCATTCCTTTTTTGTGGGTTTTAATCTCTAAAATGAGCATACTATTGTCTGCTTTATTAAGCTCTTGTGAAATCAGTTAGGAAAAGACTTTATGTACGGTGAACATTGGCCACGAGGCAAAAACTATTAGTCTATTCCACTTGTAAGAATTATTTATTTCTGTGTGTTAGGCTTGTACGATCTGTGAAGTTGAATTCAAAATGTATGGTTTCCATTTCAGTTTAGGTTTGAAAACACAATTATTTCTCATTTAATGGGGTCTGTCATCTTTTAACAGAGTCTGGAGAAAGAACTTATGGGTTTCAGCAAATCAGTAAATGAAGCACGTTCAAAGATGGATGTAGCCCAATCAGAACTCGATATCTATCTCAGTCGTCATAATACTGCAGTGTCTCAATTAAGTAAGGCCAAGGAAGCTCTACTTGCAGCTTCTGAGACTCTCAAAGAAAGGAAAGCTGCGATTGGAGATATAGAAGCAACACTCCCTCACACTGAACACGAATTGAAGGAGGTATATCTTTGTTACTGTATTTCATCTGAACGTTGTTTAGCAACCCTAGTTTTATATTTTTTTTTCTTTTAATCTCAACATCTTAAGTGATTGGCATATAGGGATTTTTTTTTTCATTTACTGTAATCTTCCCCAAAAGCATAGGGTCGGTATTTCATTATTCCATCAGATATGAACTGAGACTTTCGAGAAACTAACAGTGTTCTCCCCAGAAGCGTTGAACAACAAAGACCACTGCCCCCACCACCGTTATTTCCCATGGAAATAATTTTTAACAAAAGAAAATTTGTGTTTCCCTAAATCTAGAGAGTAGACAACTTATATAAGGGTAAATGAAAAACATATATGTATGAATGAATATGCAAACCAGCTATCTTGGTGTGTTTTTTCTGCTTTTGAATTTATGGATACAGTTTCTTTGTTGGGACTACAAACTGTTTATAAACTAATCAAGATAACTAGTTTAGCTCATTGCTCCCCCTCCTATCCTTGAATGAATTAGATATCTGAGGAGTTTCATAACTTGAATCTCTAAAGCCTCACTAGGCAAGATGGCAATAGAAAATGCTGTTTGAAGAGAAATTATACTGAAAATAAAGTCTTTCATTTTAGTAAATGCACACTATTTGGTTGTCAGGGAATTGCATGACCATGTAGAATTTAAATGTAAACTTAAGTTATATACAGTGACCACTTCCATCTTCCTGGTAATTCTGTTTGTTTTTGGGTAAATCATTATCTGTAACTTCAGCTTTTACGTTACACCAGTATGACTGGTAATAGAGGTAATAATTTTAAAGCCAGGAGATGAGGAAGAATGTCAGGAAAAAATGGCTGCTCTAACATGGAGATTGGGAAACTGAGAGTTTTACGTTTTTTTGTGTCGATGTGTGTGGTTCTTCTCTTGTTGACCACTTGGCATTTTTGTGTAGCAATAGTACTGTTCATTCATCATGCTCCTCCCCTTTATTTCAGAGCTGTGCTTTCTTTGGTTTTTTGCCCCGTTAATTAGGTATAATAATGTATATTGTATATAATAACATAATAAATGTTTCCTTTATTATTTAGAAAGCAAAGCACAATATAACCGTAGTCCTGCCCAGTCACCCATATCTAGAGTCCTATAACCAGGTCTGTTGTTAATTAGTGTAGAACTTAAGAATTAGGACACACTCATGCATCACCATGTAAGTGCCAAACTGGGATTCCCACAGCCCCAGCTCCACATGCCCTAGCAATCAATGTGCTACTCCTAGAACCATACTGCACTTACGTTCCTTATTATTCACCCAAATAGTTTATGTCCCCTTTGAAATAGAAAACTCATCCATATTTTGCAAAATCAAATCAGCAGTTGCAACATGGCAGCTTAGTGCTGGTTCAAGTGTTTATTGTTGGTCTTTTCCTTCTTTTTTGAGGCATTACAACTAATTCTGTGCTGTGATTGGGCATATTGCTTCTGCGATTCATTTTCTGAACATTTCGCTTTCAGAAAGAAAAGGAACTTCAAAAACTTACAAAGGAAGAAATAAATTTTAAAAGTTTGGTTCGTGATCTTTTCCAAAAAGTTGAAGAAGCAAAGAGTTCCTTAGCAGTGAATCGAAGTAGGGGGAAAGTCCTTGATGCAATAATTCAAGAAAAAAAATCTGGCAGGATTCCAGGAATATATGGAAGATTGGTAAAGTAGATTTATTTGGAAATGACTATACATTTTTCTCAAAAACTTTGTAAATAATTTTCTTACCTTGATTTAAATAACTGTGTGTGAGTGTCACTGTACATAAAATAACGTTCATTTTTGTTTTAAAGAACATTCGTTTTTAACCATTTTGCTCTTAGGCATGATAAAATTTTTTGTGGTATGGATTCTCTCATTATAGTTTTTTGGGGTTTTTTTTTTTTAGTTTTTTTTTTTTTTATTAATGTTATGATAGATTTCAACCTTGTGAGATTTCAGTTGTACATTATAGTTTTTTTAATTATAATCATTTTAATACCAAGAAGAAAAACTAACTCTAATAGTGACAAACAAACTTAGAAATCTAGTTTCTCTTTTTTTTAGAAAACAAGAATTTGATAAAGTATATTCTGGGTTTTATAACATATTGAAGGTTATAGCTAGAGTTTAGGGAAGTCAAAAAGGGATAATGTAGAAACCTAAGGCTAGCAATGATGGAGACCATTACTGATCCTGAGCCTAAAGAGGGAATTTAGATGTGGCCATGGCTAGAGGGTAGCCTCGAGGAAACAGGGAAAATAAATATTTAACCCCATTTCTCAACTACCGTGCCATCTCTAACTGATGCCTCACATTGGCAGAAGCTAGAGAGCCAGAGGAACTGTTTGATGTGGTCCTTGAGTCGGCCTTCCTGAGAAGGGAGCAGAAGAGAGGGATTCAGAAGGGCAGCTGGAAATTACCCAGCATAGTTGCTCCCATGTTTGTCAAGACACTTCCACCTTATTTTCTTGATACACAATTTGATCCTAAACATTTGCTCTCAAGGAAAACTAAAGCTAGTCAGTGAATGCTGCTTGATAGCTAATTTATCAAAGTTTTATTTGTTGTTTTGCTTATAGTACTTTTAGGCTTCAAATCTTTATATGTTCTCATACTGTGAAAACAGTTCTCATTTTGTGCTCTAATTAAAAATTCAAACACTGCATATCCAAAAACTTTTAAAAGGTAGATTAAAAACTTCAGTAGTGATTGTCTCTGCAAAAGGGGAAGGTTGAGGGCCAGCCGCGTGGTTAAGTTCAGTGTGCTCTGCTTTGGCAGCCTGGATTCAGTTCCTGAGCACAGACCTACACCACTCCTATGTCTGTGGCCATGCTGTGGCAGTGGCTCGCATAGAAAAAGAAGAAGATTGTCAGTGGATGTTAGCCCAGGGTGAATCATCCTCAGCAAAAAGAAGAAGGGGAAGGTTAAATGAGAGGAACACTTAGATTACTTAGCTTTTTCATTATGTACCCTTGTACTTTTTAAAACTATGTGTAAGTATAGTTTTTCAAGTAAAAGCAGCTTGAAAAAAATCTATATGAATAGTAATGAAATGATCCTGTGCCTAATTCCTTGCTCATTTTCTGTTGGTTTTCCCCCTCCTCTTAATTATTAGGGGGACTTAGGAGCAATTGATGAAAAATACGATGTTGCTATTTCATCCTGTTGTCATGCATTAGACTACATTGTTGTTGAGTCTATTGATACAGCCCAAGAATGTGTAAACTTCCTTAAAAGACAAAATATCGGAGTTGCAACCTTTATAGGTTTGGATAAGGTGGGTATTCATAATTTAATTTTTAAATACCAACTGTTTTTTGATTGAATCCTAGCTTTTTTTCATAGTTATTCAGTGAACACCTGATAGGTTTTGAGGATTAGTTTAGGCTCTCGGGTTATGTGGTTGTGAAAAAACATTTTCTAATGCCCCTTCTAAAGGAACATACATTCCAATGTTAGAGTGACTGATAGTTTACGTTTCTAACTTGCATCATCAATAACTGCTTCTAAAAAATGATAAGGGGGCCGGCCCAGTGGCACAGCGTTTACGTTCACATGTTCCACTTCAGCAGCCTGGGGTTCGCTGGTTCAGATCCCGGGTGCAGACCTGTGCACCGCTTGTCAAGCCACACTGTGGCAGGCATCCCACATGTAAAGTAGGGGAAGATGGGCAGGATGTTAGCTCAGGGCCAGTCTTCCTCAGCAAGAAGAAGAGCATTGGCAGCAGATGTTAGCTCAGAGCTAATCTTCCTCAAAAAATGATAAAACCTTTATTGAGATAGAATTCACATACCATAAAATTCCCCATTTTAAGATATGCAGTTCAGTGAGTTTTAGTGTATTCGCATGGTTGTTCAACCATGACCACTGTCTTAATTCCAGAATATTTTCATCACCCCAGAGACCTCAAACACATTAGCAGTCAGTACCCGTACCCTACCCCCCAACCCCCTGCTCAAGCAACCTCTAATCTACTTTCTGTCTCTCTAGATTTACCTATTCTGGACATGTTATAGAAATGGAATCATGCAATATGCAACCTTTTGTGTATGGCTGCTTTCATATAGCAGGTTTTCAAAGTTCATCTATGTTGTAGCACTTCATTCCTTTTTATTGCCAAATTTGTAATTCCATTGTATCGCTGTACCACATTTTCTTTATCCATCTGTCAGTTGATGGGCATTTGGGTTGTCTCTTGCCTTGGCTATTATGGAAAATGCTGCTATGAACATTCATTTATAAGTTTTTGTGCAGACATGTTTTTAATTCTCTTGGTTTAATATCTAGGGGTGGAATTGCTGGGTCACATGTTAACTTTAACTTCTTGAGGAACTGCCACACGGTTTTCCGCAGTGCCTGCGCTGTTTCCTACCAACAGTGAATGAGGGTTCCAATTTGTTTACATCCTCACCAACATTTGTTATTGTACATTTTTTTTTTTTTTTAAGATTTTTTTTTTTTTTTTTTTTCCTTTTTCTCCCCAAAGCACCCTGGTACATAGTTGTGTATTCTTCGTTGTGGGTTCCTCTAGTTGTGGCATGTGGGACGCTGCCTCAGCGTGGTCTGACGAGCAGTGCCATGTCCGCGCCCAGGATTCGAACCGACGAAACACTGGGCCGCCTGCAGCGGAGCGCGCGAACTTAACCACTCGGCCACGGGGCCAGCCCCTGTTATTGTACATTTTTTTGATTATAGCTATCGTAGTGGTTGTGAAGTGATATCTCGTTGTGGTTTTGATTTGCATTTCCTGATGACTAAAGGTGTTGAATAGCTTTTCATGTGCTTATTGGCCATTTGTTTATGTTTGGAGAAATGTCTATTCAAATCCTTTGTCCTTTTGTTAATTGGTTTATTTGGCTTTGTTGTTGAATCATAAGAGTTTTTTATATATTCTGGATATAAATATCTTGTCAGGTATATGATTTGCAATTAATTGCTCCCATTCTCTGGGTTGTCTTCACTTTCTTGATGGTGTCCTCTGAAGCACAAAATTTTTTAATTTTGATAAAGTGCAATTTTTTTTTCAGTTTGATTGCTTATGTTTGGGGTGTCATCTAAAAAACAACTGCATAATCCAAGGGCACAGTTATTTACCTCCTCTGTTTTCTTCTAAGACTTTTATAGTTTTAGCTTTTACATTTAGGTTTTTAATCCATGTTCCTTTTATAACAGTGTAAAGTAGGAGTCCAACTATGGTCTTATTCATGTGGATATCTAGTTCCAACATCATTTGTTGGAAAAACTATTCTTGCCCCATAGAATTTTCTTGGCACCCTTGTCAAACATGAACTGACCATAAATGTCAGGGTTTATTTTTGGACTCTCCATTTATCTGTACATCTGTCCTTGCACTAGTACCACACTGTCTTGATTTCTGTAGCTTTGTAGTAAGTTTTGAAATGAGGAGTCCTCTAATTTTGTTCTTTCATATCAAGATTGTTTTGGCTATTCTGAGTCCCTGTAATTTCCATATGAATTTTAAGATCAACTAGTCAATTTCTGCAAAACAAGGAGCAACTAGTATTTTGATGCAAGTTGGATTGACTCTGTAGACCAATTTGTGTATTGCTATCTTAATATTAAATCTTAAATCCATGAACCTGGACTGTCTTCCTTTATTTAGGTTTAATTTCATATTATTATGTTTGGTAGCCTTCAGTGTACGGTCATGTGTCTCTTTTGTTAAATTTACTCCTAAGTTTTTGGCTTTTTTTTAATATAATATTGTAAATGGAATTTTCTTAATCTCATTTTCAGATTATTCATTGCTAGTGTATAGAAATACAACTAATTTTTGTATAATGATCTTGTATCCTGCAACTTTGCTGAATTCATGTTTGTTTTAATAGTTTTTTTTGTGTGTGAATTCCTTAGCATTTTCTATATATAAGATCATGTCCTCTAAGGGGCCGGCTGGGTGGAGCAGCAGTTAAGTTTGCACGTCCCGCTTCTTGGCGGCCTGGGGTTCGCCAGTTCGGAACCCAGTTGTGGACATGGCACTGCTTGGCAAAAGCCATGCTGTAGTAGGCATCCCACATATAAAGTAGAGGAAGATAGGCATGGATGTTAGCTCAGGGCCAGTCTTCCTCAGCAAAAAGGAGGATTGGCAGTAGTTAGCTCAGGGCTAATCTTCCTCAAACGATAATTAATTAATTAAATAATTAAATAAAAATTTAAAAAAATAAGAGATCACGTCCTCTAAATAGTTTTACAGTAACTTCTTTTAAGATAACAGTGAAGTAGTACTCAATTACGCAGATACTCAGAACCTTGTATACGTATCCTTACATTTTATACATGTGTATTACTTATGTAAATGACACCTAAAAGAAATTATATATTCTTTTAATATATATATATTTTTTACTTTCAGATGGCAGTATGGGCAAAGAAAATGACCAAAATTCAAACTCCTGAAAATACTCCTCGGTTATTTGATTTAGTAAAAGTAAAAGATGAGAAAATTCGCCAAGCTTTTTACTTTGCTTTACGGGATACCTTAGTAGCTGACAACTTAGATCAAGCCACAAGAGTAGCATATCAAAAAGATAGAAGATGGAGAGTGGTAACGTTACAGGGACAAATCATAGAACAGTCAGGTAATGGTGGTTTCTTTCCTGCCATTGAGTTTATTTGACCTTGCTGGGGCAGATATTAAGTCTGACTTTCTGTTTTCCAGGCACAATGACTGGTGGTGGAAGCAAAGTCATGAAAGGAAGGATGGGTTCATCGGTGGTTGTTGAAATCTCTGAAGATGAGGTCAGCATATCTAAAATTATAGGCACACTTAAAAAAAAATTAACGTACATGCTATAAAGTTTAGCCGTTGTAAGTGGACTGTACTCAAATTTTATATTAACAGATTGGATTTTCTATAAATGACTAATATATAAGCTGTGGGACTTTTCTAATGTGAAACCCTGTAAAGTTCTAAAAGTAAAACATGTTAATTAGAAAGTATAAGCTCAATGTATGTATCTTTTTTCTATTATTACATTTGGACCATATTGATATTTTATAATTTAACCATTTTACGTACTGTTTGACATTTAATTTTATGTTTTTTCACATAATTCTTGCTGTATTACATGATTTTTTTTTCTATTTCAGAATAATTCTTTAAGGTGTAAGTACAGCAAAGATATCTGATGCATGTTTCCAAATTTTATTTCAAAATATTTAATATGCCCACAAGTATATGAGAATACCAGGAAAAACTGCTGTGTTCCATTATTGCCCTCAAAACACTATATATACCTTTTTCTACCTTAAAAATGTACTTGAATGTCCTGAACACCTAACTTTTTCCAAAGAGTCGTACCTTCATTTTTTCCCATATTTTAAAACAGTTTATATCCTTCCACTTAAATATTTTCAGAGTATGCCTTCACTCAAATAATACGTGGCTATACAACACTTTAAAAAGCCTTTCCGGTGGGGGCAGCCCCGTTGCCGAGTGGTTAAGTTCACGCACTCTGCTTCGGCGGTCCAGGGTTTCACTGGTTCAGATCCTGGGTGTGGACATGGCACCACTCATCAGGCCATGGTGATGCGGCGTCCCACATGCCACAACTAGAAGGACCCACAACTAAAAATATACAACTATGTTCTGGGGGGATTTGGGGAGAAAAAGCAAAAAAAAAAAAGAAGAAGATTGGCAACAGTTGTTAGCTCAGGTGCGAATCATTAAAAAGAAAAAAAAAATGCCCTTCCTGGGCCTGCTTGGTGGCACAGCAGTTAAGTGCACACATTCTGCTTCAGTGGCCCGGGGTTCACTGGTTCAGATCCTGGGTGCTGACATGGCACCACTTGGCAAGCCATGCTGTGGTAGTCGTCCCACTTAAAAAGTAGAGGAAAATGGGCATAGATCTGAGCTCAGGGCCAGTCTTCCTCAGCAAAAAAGAGGAGGATTGGCAACAGTTAGCTCAGGGCTAATGTTCCTCAAAAAAAAAGCCTTTCCATCTGGTTCTATGATGCAGAAATTAGTTGACCATCTCCTAAGTTTTAGGATTGAGAATTGGACCTGGATTGTTTGGTTTTGTTCTAGTCTTTAGTATCAGACGTTTGGGTTTTCTTCATTTATAAGTTGATTTTGCTGTTAACCTGCAGTGACTTCTGGAGAAAACTTATTTCACTAGAATTCTTCTTCGTAGGTAAATAATATGGAATCACAGTTGCAGAAAGACTCTCAAAAAGCGGTGCAAATCCAAGAACAGAAAGTACAGCTGGAGGAAGCAGTAGTTAAGTTGAGGCATCGTGAACGAGAAATGAGGAATACACTAGAAAAGTTTACTGCAAGCATCCAGGTATTCTTTTATTAATACTAGCTGAAACTCGTGGAATTCAACAGCTATTTGACAGAATTGCTGTTTGGTTACAATTTTAAAATGTAAGGGAGGAGGAGGATGGGTCTCTGGGTGGAAAGCCTGTTTGTTGATGATTTTGTTACCTTGAGTACTAATGGATAAACACCTTGTCATGTGTTGCTCCGGCCACAGCTATTCCTGGTCTCCATTTGTACTCCATAGAGATGTGTCTTCCCTTAACAGCTATGTGATCCTTTCTTTTCATTCTCTTTTCAAAGTGTCATGTTTTCTTCATTATGAAAAAGCAATTGATGCCCACTTTCTTTTTTAAAAAACAAACAAAACCAAAAACAGTTTTCAGAAAATACCCAAAAGATCATCATTCTCAATTTTTGTTTATATAATACTTCACCTTTTTAATATAAATACCTAGTTTACATGTATGTGTTTATGTATATAGTAGATAGGGATATGCGTATTAAATATGCATATGGCTTTTTAATGAGTTATACTAACTTTTCTTCACTTAATAAATTATAGTTTTATTTCCAAGCCAGTGCAAATTTACTTTGTTTGCAGTTGCATTAGAGCATTTTGTTTGATTTGCATTGAGCAATTTGATAAATATTTTTCTGTGTTATTATCTACCCTGCTATGTTTAAAATATCCTTGTTAGGTAAACCTTTATAGACTCATCCAATTATTTCCTTAGGTTAGGTTCCTAAAATTACAATTATTACCTGGTGCCTGTATATCGTCGAAGGCATTCGTTGCACAATGTCAAATTGTCCTGAAAGAGATGGTTGCAGTTTATTTGCGTATGTGGCTAGTAGTGTGCTAGTTCCAAGTCTTTGAACACTAAGTAGTCGTCAGTATGCTGTAAGTTTGCTACTCTGAAGTACTGAAAACTGGCATTTTAACTTGCCTTGGTAATGAGTTTACACATCATTTCGTGTGTTTTTTTGGCCATTTTCCTTTTTATACGTTAGTTGTTCATGTTTTCTGCCCTTTTCATGTTAGTGTTTCGATTTAAAATGTTTAAAGCAAATGTTACTAAGTTAAAATACTGACCTTGAATGTTAAAACATTCTGTAGCGTTTATCAGAGCAAGAAGAATATTTGAATATCCAAGTTAAGGAACTTGAAGCTAATGTAATTGCTACAGCACCTGACCAAAAAAAGCAGAAATTGCTAGAAGAAAATGTTAGTGCTTTCAAAACAGGTATGTTTAAGGAAACAGACTTTTTTTTGAGATTGTCAAAAACAGGTTTTTAATGTTTGAAATGTGTAAGATAACAGTTTGTAGAACAAAAATAGCTATTTATATTATGTGTGAGTCACTGCTGTTTTATGGTTTCTATTATTTCATTCTCGAATGGTTATAAAGTAAGTACTATTACAGTTAAAGTAAATACTGTTAAATTAAGTACTTCATTTGACTGATAAGGAAACTGAGTCCCAGAATGGTTTAAATAATTTGTCCAAAGGTCGCATAGCATGTGGTAGTATAGGAGTTCAGGACCAAGGCAGTCTGATTCCGAAATCCACCGTCTTAATTTCATACTTTGTATACTTTGGCTCAGTCTTCACAAGAACTTTTCAATACAGTAGTTGTTTTACAGACTAAGGAAACAGGATTTGGAGAAACTAAATCACTTAAACAAAAGCACAAAGGAAATAAATGGCATGCACATGAAGAAAAGTAGAATTTGTTTGAAAACTTAGAAAACATGTATTTTCCTTCCAGAACTTTCTCTTGTGTACATATAAACATGTAAGGGTTCTACCAAAATAGAATCTTTAAGCACGAAAGGGAATTTGTAGGCTCATAGTCAGAATAGGCTGTGAAATTGAAATTCCCTAATCATTCACTTGAACAGCCTTGCTTCTCTTACCGCATTGGCTTCTGTCGTAGATGTGCGTCTTATTCCAGGAGGAGGGAAGGGAGGGTTGTGATGACAGACTCTTTCCTGGCTTACAGTATCTTAGTGAATGACCCCAGCAAACACAGTGAGCTTTCATCACATCCTCTGGAAACAGACTCCGGTACAGTTTGGTTCATGAGCCAAGGAAGGCAAATAGTAATTGCCCATCCCAAAGAATTAGAGTGGAGGTGGAGCAATTATCGAAATGTTCCAAAAATGAGGGAGTTTCCTTCCAAAAGAAAAGGAGGTAAAAAGATGTTAAGCAGACAGATGTCCACATTGAATATTCATCTGTACCATGTTAATTGTTTATTTTTGTGGTCATGTTTATCTGTGTTTAATACTAAGGCATTCACTCAAGTAGCATCTGGTACTGGCCATGCTTTGTTTTAGGTTCTGTTGATTAAGCAGTGAACAAAATAAAGTCTCTCTTTTCAAGGAGCTCACACTTAAGATGGGGAAGCTAAACCAGTATATTACATATTGTATCAGGTGGTGGTACTAAGTGGTAAGGATAACAGGACAAGGTGGGGATAGGGGGTCTGGTGGACACACTGGGTGAGACAGGCCTCTGCTGGAGACATTTAAGCGGAGATCCAAAGGAAGTTTGAGTGCTAACCCCGTGGATATTTGGGAGAAGAGCATTTCAAGAAGAATGTGGAGGAGTAAGTACCCAGGCCCTGAGGCAGGAGTATGCTAGCAGTTTCTAGGAACACAAGAAAGCCAGAGTGGCTAGAGTAAAGGATTGAAGAATCCAGATAGTGTAGGGCCTTATAGGCCATTGTCTCCAGGTGAAACAGAAAGCCATTGGAAAGTGATGTATAGGGAAGTGGCACAATTTGACAGGATTTTTTTTGCTTGCATTTATTTTGGATCTATACTGTGTTTTTACAGACACATCGACTTTACCCACACTCCTTTTCCTCCGTACAACCCACAGTATTTGTTGGGACTGCTTCGATGGTGCCTAGTCATCAGCTGAAAGATCAAAAATGTATTTGTGTGTCATTTATAGCAACACTTTCAGAGAAAGACTACAAGAATCTGTATTCTTGTTTGAAAAGGATGACTTGACTTTACTAGGAGCCCTATGTATATCTCCTCTTATGGAAATGCTGGCTATTATCAGTAGACTCTGTGAATGTCTAATATGGAAGACCCAAGTCTGCAAAGCATATCTTTAAGATTATTTCATTTTTACATTAATTTAGGTTTTAAAAATACCTCTCTGGCTAATGTGCAGGGAATAGAGTAAGGAGGGTGAGGTGTATAGAATAGTGACTTCAAAATTGCAGACTATATGTGCCACAGTTTTCCTCTTCTAATAGACATACTAATATAGATATCAAAAGAGAAATGCATGGTTGATACTTGAAAATAAGAAAATGTTCTAAAGGTTGGAACCCTTTCCAGCTGCATACCTGGCCCATCCCCCAGTGTAAGTCATAACACCATCCTCCACAGCAGCTGGTGCTCTACCCGACAAGTGAGCCGAGCACGCAGGTAGCCTAATGGAATTTCAACCAGAGAGAACATCGCCACTGTGAGTGAAACAGTTCCTTCAACAAATACAGTTATCTTAGACCTGAAAAAAGTTACTAGTGTGTATTTAATATCATTAGGACAAAAGGGGATCCAAAAGACCCCCAAAATGCAGGATTTTTTTATTTTTAATTGCCAAGTGGTGAGCTCAGAAATGTAAAACAGTTGTTAGAATTAAACTGAATAGATGAGGAAAGATCAGGCTGAAAGAACTCTGATAATGTAGGACAAAAAGTGAAATGACAAGTTAATGAGATTTGGAGACTGGAAATTCCCGCCTACCTAACAGGAGAGAAGAGACAATGGGGAGAGCAAGCCACAGTGAAGTCCTTATCTAATCCTTTTCTCTCAGTGAGTCCTACCTCCTTCCTCCTGTGCCAAATGTCCATATACCTTCTAGAGGAACTTTATGGGACTCTTTCCATAAGTTAGCTCAGTGTTTCTCTTTACCTTTCTAGACATAACGTATTCTTGGTAGCATGAACTCCTTACCTTTCTGCCTCCTTTTATCCTTCCTGTTTTGTATAGTGATTAGGATTCAAATTATAAAATAGAATCCACTCTGGCTAGTGTAAATAGCATTTGTGTAGTTACCCTGTGTGTGTGTGTGTTTAAGAAACTATTAGATTGTTTACAGAATCACTGGGATGGCTAAAGAAAGAAATTCTAGGTTGAACATTCAAGAATAATTTCCAGAGCTACTCTACAGAACCACAGAAGAGCTATAACTGCCTCTTCTCTGACTGGAAGGTCATCTCGCAAACTGGGAAGATGACACTACAACTACCAACCAGAGAAGCACATCGCACCATCAGAGTTAATGCTACTCTTTGACTATTCACAAAGCTTTTGGCTGGACACCAGAACCTCCAGTGCCACCAAGAAAATTCAAACTTCTCTGTGATTGCTTGCCAATAGAAATATGTCCAGTTCATCACTTCGCCTTCCAAATTATGTGAATTCTTTTGATTGAATGGACCTAAATTATGTCTGAACCTAAATTATGGTACAAGGGAATCTAGGGAGTGTAGCTTTAGCTGTCTGTGCCACAGAGAAGAGTGCCAGTTCATCCTCTCCCCTACTGTCTCGTCATAACATGTGGAGGACTCTAAATTAGGCTCGCAGAGTAAACCAGTTTCTTCACCATGGGCAGGTTAATGGTCAGGCACATAGTCTCTGTAAGGGTGAAAATTATTGAGACCAATAGTCAAGCAAGTACCCTAAGAAAAAGTTGAAAAGAGCTTTAGGGCATGGAGCCATTAAGAAAGAAATAGGTTCTGTTCATGGCCCAACCGGAGAATTTAACTATGTGTTGTTGTAGAGCCGTTTGTTTTGACATAAAGTGTTCTGAGGTTTTTTGAGGTACTTTTTCCTAAATGTCTCAAATTTCTTCTTTTGCATGCTTCAGATTTTAAGTTATATTGACTGAAGAAATTTACATCTAACAAGTGACGCTGGTTAGCCTAGAAGCATAAATTAAGTTTTTTGTTTTTTTATTTCAGAATATGAGAATGTGGCTGAGAGAGCTGGGAAAGTAGAAGCTGAAGTTAAAAGGTTATACAATATCATCGTAGAAATTAATAACCATAAACTCAAGGCCCAACAGGACAAACTTGATAAAATAAATAAGCAATTAGATGAATGTGCTTCTGCTGTTACTAAAGCCCAAGTAGCAATCAAGACTGCTGACAGGTAGAGTGTGCGTCCTCCCCTAACCCGTCGTCCTCTTCCCTGCCTCCACAGCGGAGAGGCTCCTAGTCCAATTTAATGTCCTGTCTAACATAGTGTTACCTAATAGGGCTTGAGTAAGGGGAGACCTACAGTAAACACTTAGCATCAGACCAGTTTGTTTTTAAGAAGAGACTGGTACACAGGTGTGCCTTGGCAAAGCACAGTTGTACAACTCTCCAGTTCTTGTGAGGGCAGAGAAATCAGTTTGCTTTCTCCAGCTGAGAGGAGTAGATGGGGATCGAATAGATCTAGGTCTTAGGAGAATAAGCGGGAAGAATGAGATCTCTTAGCAAAGTTAATTGTCTCGGTAACTTAAATGTTTAATTAACTATTATTCCATTGTCCCAACTCACAAAAAGTTTTTTATCCATTTGTAGTTCTTGTTTTAAAATTGATTTTTAGAGTATTGAAGTGTTTCTAAAATAATTAAAGCTATGTATGTTTATAAAATGTTAGAATGGGGGCTGGCCCCGTGGCCGAGTGGTTAGGTTCGCACGCTCCGCTGCAGGCGGCCCAGTGTTTCGTTGGTTCGAATCCTGGGCGCGGACATGGCACTGCTCATCAGACCACGCTGAGGCAGCGTCCCACATGCCACAACTAGAAGGACCCAGAACTAAGAATATACAACTATGTACCAGGGGGCTTTGGGGAGAAAAAGAAAAAAAATAAAATCTTTAAAAAAAGAAAAATGTTAGAATGTAAACAGCTGTTTGTTTTATCTAAAATCATAAATTAATTATATATAGATGATCTGGTTATTAAGTTATTCCAGTCTTTTGCTCAAGGATAAAGGTGCTAATAAGCCATTTGTTTATGTTAGGAGCAGAAGTTTATATAGCTTCATGGGTATAGAGATTTAAGAATCTCCAATCTGACAAGAAAATGACAATATAATAATCCAATGGACAACTTTGTTTCATAATCTAAGATTGGATGATATTAGAAGCCTGTATAAGTAAGTTTTGTTGATTTATACTGAGTTTAATTTAAAAAATACAGTAATCCCACAAGTGTATGTATAAACATATAAAACCAATTCAAGGATGGTTTAGTAAATCATAAACTTTTAAATCTATGAGAGAATAAAAAGACACATTAATGCCGTCAAAAGTTCTTTTCATAGGTTTTCAGAAGCAGAATAACAAGTACACGTTTTACCACATTTTTAATCTATCATTTTGCTTGTTTAGAAATCTTAAAAAAGCTCAAGACTCTGTCCTTCAAACAGAGAAAGAAATAAAAGATACTGAGAAAGAAGTAGATGACTTAACAGCAGAGCTAAAAAGTATTGAAGACAAAGCAGCAGAGGTCATACACTGCACAAATGCTGCAGAGGTGAGACTTGGGCAAGGGAGAGGATGGTGTTTGAAACAATTTAAAGAGTTGGCTATGTGACATCAGTGCCATGCATAGTAAGCACTCCATAGCTTAACTTTTATAACTATATTAACTTTGTACAATAAAAATATGAGTGCTGGGGCCCTCCCCATGGCCATGTGGTTAAGTTCCTGTGCTCTGCTTTGGTGGCCCGGGGTTTCGCCAGTTCAGTTCCTGGGTGCGGACGTGGCACCGCTCATCAGGCCATGCTGAGGCGGCGTCCCACATGGCACAACCACAGGGACCTACAGGTAGAATATGCAACTATGTACTAGGGGGTTTGGGGGAGAATAAAAAAAAAATTGGCAACAGTTGTTAACTCAGGTGCCAATCTTTAAGGAAAAAACAGAATACGAGTACTGTATTGTAACTTGTCTGTAAATAAAAAAGTTTGAATTTAAAATGAAAAGGGCATAGAGAGAGAGTGCCAGATTTCATTGTAATGTGAAAATGCCTGTTCTTGTTATTTGGGAAGGTCATGTCTGTAGCAGTTCTTCTTGGTTTTTAGGAGTCCTTACCAGAGATCCAGAAAGAACATCGTAATTTACTTCAAGAACTAAAAGTAATTCAAGAAAATGAACATGCGCTTCAAAAAGATGCACTTAGTATTAAGTTGAAACTTGAGCAAATAGATGGGCACATTGCTGAACATAATTCTAAAATAAAATATTGGCAAAAAGAGGTGAGATTATTACCGTTTAGTTAAATATAACTTGAAAATATCCTTTATGGGGGCCGGCCCCATGGCCGAGTGGTTAAGTTCACAGGCTCAGCTGCAGTGGCCCAGGGTTTTTGCTGGTTCGGATCCTGGGCCCCCGGACACAGCACCACTCATCAAGCCACGCTGAGGCAGCGTCCCGCATGCCATAACTAGAAGGACCCAGAAGTAAAAATACACAATTATGTACCTGGGGGTTTGGGGGAGAAAAAAAGAAAACTAACATCTTTAAAATATTCTTTATGAAAAAGGGTTGGGGTTTTTGTTTGATGTGTGTTTTTAAGGTACGGTGTGATTCTTAATTCCATGATATACTCACTTCTCAAATGTATAGGAAACAATAATATAATTATTATATAGAAAAACCTGAGTAATGCTTAGAATTAGTCAACATTTTCACCCCAGGGCTGACATGGCGATTTTAACAAAAAGGCTGTATGAGCACTTTGGAACCCCAAAACTATTTTTCTTGAAGTCTTTTGAGAATCAGTTGATACACAAATTAGTCACAACTCCTTATTGTATGTTGTTTTAATAGGTAGGTAATTTGTCATATTGTTGATTTTTTTTTTAAACGTTAATTTTAGTAGTGTGCCTTCCCTAACTCTCACCTAAATTGAACTTTTAGATTTCAAAAATATCATTGCACCCCATAGAAAATAATACTGTTGAAGAGATTTTGGTTCTAAGCCCAGAGGATCTCGAAGCAATCAAGAATCCAGATTCTATAACAAATCAAATTGCACTTTTGGAAGCCCAGTGTCATGAAATGAAGCCAAACCTTGGTGCCATTGCAGAGTATAAAAAGAAGGTATGAACGAACTATTAATGTATAATAGTCGGGAGTTCTTTTTAGTCTTTGGCTTACATTGCAACCTTTAATTTTAAATAATTGGCAATGTTGATTTTCATCTCAAATTTCTAACTTGAGATGTTTATCTCATGATAATATTCTTTTCATAGGAAGAATTATATTTACAACGAGTAGCAGAATTGGACAAAATTACTTGTGAAAGAGATCATTTTAGACAGGCATATGAAGATCTTCGGAAGCAAAGGCTTAATGAATTCATGGCAGGTTTTTACATAATAACAAATAAATTAAAGGAAAATTACCAGATGCTTACTTTGGGAGGTGACGCTGAACTGGAGCTTGTAGACAGCTTGGATCCTTTCTCTGAAGGCATCATGTTCAGGTTTGTAATTCTACTGAGTCTTGGAACCTCCTCTACTTATGTCTCTCTACATACTCTCCAATCTCTCAGTATTTTTTAGGTGTGGGATTTGAAGGTTATATCTACAACTTGTTTTATTTGATGATAAATACTACTTTGTTTGCATATTGGCAGTTTGCCACATAAATTCTGGACAAACAGCAAATATTGAATTTTACACACAATTTTTCTAATTCACCTTGTTTTAAAATTTTCAAGCCACTTCAGTTTAACATTAGGATTTGAAAATTGCAAAGTGAAAAACTGCGTTGTAAACAGGGAAAAATAGCAAGAAATACTTACTAGCCTGCTGTTTAAATCTTAAAATTTTGGTAGGTGTCCATATGTGTTCATCCTCCAGTAACATTTTTATAAAATAACCCAACAAGAGTTTCGATTTGTGAAAAGCCAGTTAGAGATTCCTGAGGAAGGTAGTAGAAGCCAGTTATGGAAAACAGATCATGAAGTCTTAACTTTGGCTTTACAAGTAATTTGACTAATAAGAGATTTTCTGAATTATTTCAGTGTTCGACCACCTAAGAAAAGCTGGAAGAAGATCTTCAACCTTTCAGGAGGAGAGAAAACGCTTAGTTCATTGGCTCTAGTGTTCGCTCTTCACCACTACAAACCCACTCCCCTGTACTTCATGGATGAGATTGATGCGGCCCTTGACTTTAAAAATGTGTCCATTGTTGCATTTTATATATATGTAAGTAATCATTTACAGGTTTCCATTCTAAAAATTTTGTGAGTCCCTAAACATTACACATGGAATTGTTTGACTTAGTTTCCTTCTTTTGAGCTTTTTGCCTGTTCTCTTAATTCCATGTCATATGATATCACAGGAGACCAAGTCCTTTTTTTGAACCAAATATTTCCATTTTGGACAAGTAAAATATAAATTAGCAATGTAAATTAGTAGATGAAACACAGCTAGAATCTCATCTCCTGCCTAGATCTTTTTTCCACTAGAAGACTTCTATGCAACTTTGCTTCCAAAAATACCCAAATTCTTCTCAAACCCAAATACTGTGTCATGAATTATCCATGCCATCATTCTTACACAAGTTAATTATCAATGTAATGTTGAATTTATTGCCCGAAAACTATTTCAGGGAAGTAAAGCTTAGATGTTTATTATATGATTTACCTGTTATTACTTAATGTTTCTTATTTCTTTCTTTTTAGGAACAAACAAAAAATGCCCAGTTCATAATAATTTCTCTTCGAAATAATATGTTTGAGATTTCGGATAGACTTATTGGAATTTACAAGACATACAATATAACAAAAAGTGTTGCAGTAAACCCAAAAGAAATTGCATCTAAAGGACCTTATTAAACTTGTTTTATTGGACTTCTCAAATTGAATCAACATAGATTCAGTGTGTTGTATTACTGATTTTCTATCTGTAAAAGATTATAAATTTAAAAATTATATAAAATGTATAAGATAAATACTCCTGATCATATAATTGGATTCTATTTTATGCTGTTAAGAGACATATTACAAGTCTAATAAAATATTCTCTCCATCTGCTTCTAGGAAATTCTAAAAATCTGACAACTTTGTAAATAGCAGAGTGTGGAGAAAATTAAGATGCCAGGTGGGGAGGCCGGCCCCATGGCCGAGTGGTTAAATTCGCACGCTCCACTTTGGCAGCCCAGGGTTTCACCAGTTTGAATCCTGGGCACAGACATGGCACCACTCATCGAGCCATGCTGAGGTGGCGTCCCACGTGCCACAACTAGAAGGACACACAACTAAAAATACACAACTGTGTGCCATGGGACTTTGGGGAGAAAAAGGAAAAATAAAATCTTAAAAAAAAAAAGACGCCGGGTGGGTCAGGTGACTTGCTGTTAGTCCCAAATTGCTACCGGCAGAGTTAAAAGTCTATTAGTTGATGAACAGTAAAGTTCCAAACTAGATCGTCTTGTCAAGATGCAGCATACCCTCATGAACCTTTGACCTACACAGGAAAAGCCTGCCAACTATTATTGTATAAATTCTTAAGGTAATTCCACTTAATTTGCTAATTTAGACCATTATATTTATTACTCAGATACTAGGAACAATTTTTTTGTAACCAGTCATTCTGAAATATAAGGATGAGAATTTAACTATCTTATGTTATTCTAAAACTTGATGTGTGTATTTAAAACACTCGCAAGAGGGCCAGCAAACAGACAATGTCTAAATATGACTAGAATATCTCATAAAGTTGAGTAGGAAAAATACTCTAAGAAAATCACTGTAGGGGCTGACCTGGTGGTGCAGTGGTTAAGTGCACATGTTCCACTTTGGCAGCCCCAGGGTTCGCCAGTTCAGATCCCGGGTGCAGACATGGCACCGCTTATCAGGCCATGCTGTGGTGGGCATCCCACATATAAAGTAGAGGAAGATGGGCACGGATGTTAGCTCAGGGCCAGTCTTCCTCAGCAAAAAGAGGAGGATTGGCAGTAGTTAGCTCAGGGCTAATCTTCCTCAAAAAAAAAAAAACGAAAAACACTATATACTAAAATACCATATACTTATACTAAAAATACTAAAAGAAAAAACACTAGTTACTTCATTGAAAGAATGAAGTATATAGGGGTTAACTTCTACTATAAATGGAAATAAATATGAAATACTGTTTGCCTATCAAATTGTCAGGGTTTTGTTTTTGTTTGGGTTTTTTTTTACACTAGTATTAGCTCAAGAATATTATAATACTATTGGAAATAAGTTGGCAACCACTTGGTTTTCAGAAGGAATTTTAGTATTGAACTAAAAGTGTTTGCCCTAGCTATTCAATTTCCAGATATTGATCCTGAAGGAATTAAGGGTTAGCTTGTTACTCAGTAGACCATTGCTTAGGTACTAAAAATCCAACAGACAGTTTTATCATATAACATAGTCATTAAAAGTGTGAACACATGAGCATGGACTTAAAGCAAGATCTGAAACTAAAGTATGGGCATTTGTTTTAAATCAAGATTGTATAAGGAAAGTGGAACTGGAAGAAGCTATAATGAAGTGCTTTTTCATTGGTTGAGAGTAGAGATGAATGGAACTTAATACTTTTATTACATTTTAATAACCAGTGGAGTAGCAGCGCTTAGTATGAAGTTTTAAAGAGTTAAAATAGATAATACCCATAACCTACATGAAAATTCCAAGCTGTCACTCCTGAGTTTGAGCTCCCTATGAAGCCACTCAATACAAATAAAATATCAAAATGAGTTTATTAAAATATATACTTTTGTTATACAGAAAACAAAAATATTTCAAGATTATATACTTTAAATTCTACAATCTCGGTAAAAATTTTTTTAAAAAACAGCATTTATAAGAATCAGTTATTTACTATATTCATGCACACTACATAAAATTCATCAAAAAATAAAGTTTTGTCTACTAAAAAGTTAGAAAATATATCAAACCTAAAAAATTAATAGGCATATGCTTCAATTTTTAGCTACAGATGATTCTTAGACATGAACAGAAGGCCTGCTTTAATAAAACTCTCGGCTTATTTAAATCCTTGAAAGGCTGCATGACAGCATGAACTCTGGAAAGAATACATTGGGTCTCCCATATACTAGCTCTATGGCTTTGGGCAAATTACTTTTGTGTCTCTTTTGTCTTGTACAAAAGTAGCAGTTAATACCTACTTCAGAAGTGTGAGATTAAGTGCTTGACAGCTAACATACATTTCACTACTTACTAGTATTTACATGTATTCCAAAAGTACCTGGCATTTTTGTGTTGTGACTAATACTTAAATCAGTTTAACTTTGGTCTAAAGTTAACGTGTATTTATATTTCTCTCATCTCAGTAGCTGAATGTATATTTTCCCTATCTCCATTACACCCTCCAGATGTTCTTGGCCCCCATACAATACAGTCTTGTGCCACGTAACGATGTTTCCATTCATGACCGACTGCATATATGACGGTGGTCCCATAAGATTAGTGCCATATAGCCGAGGTGTGTAGTAGGCTATACTATCTGTTTGCATTGGTGTTTGCAGAAGGACAAAATTGCCTAACGAAGCATTTCTCAAAATGTATCTCTGCCATTAAGTGATGCACGACTATGTTAATTGTGCTAATTTGTGCTAGGGATATTCTGGTTCTGGTCACAAACTGACAACACAGCCGGCTGTCTTAATATTCAGACTTGTTCTTCGCAGATAAGACCTTAGGAATATTTTGGAACTAGTGCCCTGAACACAGCCATATGAATTCATTAGAATTTACATGTAATCTGTAGGACCAGGAGCATTCCCTAATCTGACCTGGAAAGTCTTTTAAATTAGGTAAAGCACCTAGAGGTGTGATCCAAGAGCAATAGCCAGTTTGGAATTTCTGGAAAGCAAACGAGGTTGTATTTGGGTTAGGGTTGTGTGGACAGAAGGGCCAAAACTACGACAAACACTCCAATTCCAGTCCCTGCTAATAATAAGGGAATTATCAAAGGGATCTGACTTAACAGCTAGGTAGGCTCCCTTTTAAGCAAAATTCAAGGAAATAAGATTAAAATTATTGGTATTTTGGCATTAGCATAAGGGAATGTTTGGCAGAAAATTTAAGATAATTTTTTAAGACAAATACAATGAACATGAGTCATCTAAATCTGATGATGAAATATATCAACAATGATTCCATTTTGTAACCTTTTAGTTTTTATCCAAGAACTGATTTGACAAGACTTAAAAAACACTACACAAATTCTAATACAATCCTAAAACAATTTACACAAACCACAGAATATGACAAGTATTAGAAAATGTTGCTGTTCTGTATCTGATAAACATTTTAGGGCTCGCAAATCTTATCTGAAACAATGTGTGGATCAGGTGTGTTTGATGAAAAGCATCTTTAAGCAGTCTTTTATCACTTTTAGACTCTGCTGCTTGAATTTAAAACCTCTTCTCACCATCTCACCCATTCAAAAGCTTCAAGCCACATCAAAATAAAGGTGTATGCACTTCCAGAATTTTGCCATCTTTGAATCCAAAAGCTACATAATATATAAAGAACTGCAAAGTCAGCCACCACAGTATAGGATAATGTTCAAAGACGGTATTGGTACAAGAATGCTTAAATGTCACCACCATAGTAAGTAAACCTCAAGCCAATGAGATCATGCATTAATATGCAAGGAATTACTACATTTTATTCTAGTTTTCAGATGTCTGAAAACTAGAGACATTCTGCCTCATTTCTAACTTTGACACATTATTTCTATCCAACAGCAGCACGAAAGGCTTAACATATTTGTGTGTTGCAACTCTAGTAAGTTTAGTTTGCTATTTTATTTATCCACGCTACCCCTAGTTCTCCATTAGCCATGGTTATCAGTCTCTGCTGTACAGAATAAGCCTATTTAAACAATTCAGACTTGAATTTTCAATGAGAAGCTATTTTCCACATGAATTCCTTCAGTAAATATAAAGAGTGACATAGTATATTCTTTAAATCATGAAGATTGTTAGATAAACTTTGGTAAACAGACAGAGAGACTTCAGAAAAACATATTGAAGTGATTTCATTTAAAAACGTTATTATGTGTTGGTTAAAAAAGAGGATCAACATCAATATCAGTGAAATCAGTGTAACTATAACAATGTTTAGAATCTTAAAAAATTCAACTTCTCTTTCATCCTTATCAGACCAGGAACATGACATCCTTTTTGAAGAAATTTTCATTTCAGGAATGAGAAGTTTCTTGATTTGTCCAATTTCCGTTCTGCTCCAATCTTCTTTCAATACTTGGCTGACTCGAGGATAAATTTCAACAGGCTGGAGCTCAGGAAGTGGTCTTCGTTTCAAGGTCTGCACACGTTGGCGGACATCATCAACTTTTTCAAGAAATTTAAGTGGCGACTCTTCTTGTAAAGATGTTGTCAATGTCATTAATTCAAGCTGCTGCTCTCTGATGTTTTTCATTCTTTCAATTTGTGGAGTATATTCTTGATTAATCAGATTGCCAACATTGCAGAGAGCACTGAGAAATTTTTTTTTTTTCTGTTCTAATGTATCACTAAGCTCCTTAAAATACTGGAGAATAACTTCCTTATCACCTTGGACCACTTTCTCCGAATGAGATTTTTGTTCTTCCAGCTTTTCAATAAGACAAGTAAGATGTGTCCAGTGTGTGTCAGTTAACTGTTGGAGCAGTTTTTGAGGAGTGTCCTTTTCCTTCAGATAGGCACTCTGAAGATCATCTATAGGATGCCCATGGTGCTGACCTATCGTAAGGCAATGACCACATACCAATTTTTTATCTAGTAGACAGTAAACATTTAATGGTTGCCTGTAATGTTCAGGGCAGGTGATGATGTCTGGATGGTCTTCCTGCTGGTACTTTTCAATAATAGCTCTTAATGCAAAATTAACAGGTAAAGATTCAATGCCAGTTGGAGCAATTTCAATAATACTTCTGCAATTAGGGCATTTGAGTGGAATTCGTAAAGGTCTCCATATATAAAAGTTACCAGATGCCTGAAGAACGTTTTCTAAGCAGTTTCTACAAAATGTATGAGAGCATGGGAGTACACGAGGATCTTCAAAAATACTGTAGCAAATAGGACACGTTAACTCATCCTCAAAATTGTGCATTTCCTGTCAAGAGAAAAAAGTATTTTAAGTCTACATATAACAAAGACACCTGCACATACTGTGTAAAGTTTTAGGAGTCAACCTCCAAACTGTTACTATATTGTGCTTGTCACTTAAGAGGATAATTAAGGTATTTACTAAGATTTTTTAAATGTAGCTTTCTAAGTAATGCAATTCCTAATATATAATATTGAATATTTGATCATCTTTAAGAGCTTGTTTACTTTGGGACAAAATTCATGCTAAACAAAATTCTAATTTATTCATAGTAAAATGTTTCAAATTAAAAAGTTAAGTTTGTTTCTATGTAATGAAGACTAAGAAAAATTCAAAGTGTTCTATTGAAGTCTACTTAATGATTGTAACTATTCTGTGCAACTCTTCACATGTTTAGATGCTCAAATCAAAACTCTACACAAATAATGAATAGGCAAGACTCAAGATATTTTTATTAAATAAGTTAGGCTTAGCAAAATTATATTCTTTAATTCAAAAGAAGGATTCATGCTCCCAGTTGGCTCAACCATATTTCTAAAAGCAAGTTATTAAATTTCTCTAGTAATTGTTGCTATAAATTTCTTAGCTTCTTGAATTGGAATACTAGTGTGCTTAAAGGCCAGGATCAGCACAGTGTAGTATTCTAAAGTAATAATTTTAATTTGAAGATTTGCATTAAGTCCTTCCGCTAAAACTCAGTTTGAAAGATGAAGTGTTGATTGTGATAACTACAGCATTAGTGGTAAAGAACACCATTAGTCATCTTTCCTTCATGAAGAAATCCAGCAACAGTTCAGAGACTCTGTGACACAAGTGAACTTGACCTCTTGGCAAGCTATTATTGACATTTCCCGCAAGAGAAGCCCTACCCGCTCTTAGAGTCCGCCTTTGTGCCTAACCTCAATGCACACCTTACTTGGCCCTGGCAGAGAAGAATCAACTTCCACCACTGTTTAAAAGAACCTTACAAAGCAAAACAAAAAGCTCAAGTGCCCTTCATGTAAAATATAGAAGTTTCCAGATCTTCCTCTATAAAACTAAGCTTTAAGATAAACGTTTGAGAAAAGACCTACAAATAACTAATTGTCCTTTTAATAAACATAAAAACTCCTTTAGACTTTTTAGCTCGATGCTCCTTATCTTCATTTGCAAAAGCAAACTCTTCGTCACCCTTCAAGTCTCAATTTGAGCCCCGCCACCTCCCCAGATTAGGCCCCCTATTAATCCGCCTCTACTGCAGAGCACTTAACTGGATTTTATTTAAAAGAATTGTGTAGTATTTTTCTATACATTAGAATGTGTTAGCCTGCAATAAGAACAGGAATTGTGTCTAAGTATATAACTTGACACACGGTATGCATTCACTCGATACTGGTTGCATAAACAATGCTCCTTAAGAGACCAAGGTTAATAAAATATCAGATTAGTTTTGTTTTTTTTGAAATAGCAAAATCTCTACTTAGCTTAAGAAAAGCTATAAACAGGAGAGTTATCAGAAAATATTCCATTCAGACTGACAGTATTCAGAACCCTAATGAGCCAAGATTGGTCAGATAGAGGCTAAGCTTGAAATGTACAGCATACTAGGCAACAGCAGTAATTGGGCGGCAGCTTAGAAGATGACATTCATTGCACATAAATGCAAGTGAATGCATGTTGGGAAGACTTTACATAATGAGCCCTTAAAACAGAATCCAACCTTTCCCTCTGAAGCTTCTCTCCCAAGTCCTGTTCTCAAAAAGGTAGAAAACATTGCCTCCGAGAACCCATTTACCCATGTAGGACCCCAAAAGCTCAACTTTCTTTAGAATGAAGATATTCACCACAAGATTGTAAAGAAAACGTCATCTCCTAAGCTTATATAAAGTGGAAGCAACTATCATGGTCTCAAAAACTACTCCCATAGTATGTGCAATTTTTAATAAAATTTGATCAGAAACTTTTGTTTAACTTGAAGATACAGAAATCAAACTCTACTCTGACTACCCTCATCTTGCTGATTTATTAAAAAGTGATTTTAGGGCTGGCCCGGTGGCACAGCGGTTAAGTGCACACATTCCACTTTGGCGGCCCGGGGTTCGCCGGTTTGGATCCTGGGTGTGGACATGGCACGGCTCATCAAGCCATGCTGAGGTGGCATCCCACATGCCACAACTAAAAAAATACACAGCTATGTACCTGGGGACTTTGGGGAGAAAAAGGAAAACTAAAATCTTTTTTAAAAAAAAAAAGTAAAATAAAAGTAACCCATGTAAAATGTTACTCTCCTCCAATGACTACTACAAGCCCAAGTAAAAATTGAAAACTTAGCTCAAGACTTTCTGCTTCCTTTGTAAGTCACTGAGATATAGGAATATAAAAACTAAATATTTTCAGAACAAAACCTGAGGCTAAATCATCTACTTGTAAATCACTTCACAAATTTCCTGTGATTAAGTGTGAAGAACACACTTCTGAACTTTCGAACTTTTTATGCAGTTTCTCCAGAGGGCTGACTTCCTGTGGAGCGTCCAGTGCTGAACCAGCACAACACGGATGGTCAGCGCTGACAACAGACGCGGAGAATGAAGCAGGACCGACATGTCGTACCCATTCTCCCATGTACACCATTTTTTAGGTTTTAACTCACTAATGTGTTACTGCCTTTCATCTCTAAACATCAATGGTTATAAAATATTACATCTTACAACTCCTGAAGAGAAATTACACTGCCCACATCACAGCGTTGGACGGCTTGCTCTTGGATTTAGACTGAGTCAGCTGTAAGTCTGGGAAAATTCAAAAGGTGCCACCACCCAGACTGGAGCTCACATCTTTGTGGCCCTGACTGATAAAAAGCACATTTCACACAAGTCAAGACTTACTTTAGAAATACTACAATTGTGCTACATATATACACATAGGGCAAGATTTTTAAAATACTGTTGTACATATAAATATAGAAAAATAATGAAGGATCACCATAACTCTTTCAACTTGAAATAAAGAAAAATCCCAAGGTCAGACGTGATTTTAACTGTGCCCGTTTGTACTATTTTCCCACATTTTGACATCAACCTGTTTCCCCAAACCAAAAAAGAAACTACTAATGCAACTTAACAAGGAACTCAAGTGAGAAGTTAAGGTTTTCATTGCTTTTTTTTATACTTTTCAAAGTGAAAATACAGCTGGTGGAAAACGTTCAGCAATATGTTTGCTCAAAGGCAATGTTAAAACAAACATTACCTAAAAGCCAAATTTCACTTTGCCAGACTAGTTAAATCTTGATACCTTACTTCAAAGGCTAGCTACTTGATCATTAAAAAAGAATGCACATCAATATGTAAATACGTAATAAAAAGGTGTCCGGATAGCTTAATGAATGCAATCTGCAGATTTGTATGGATAAAATGATACCACGTGTGTATGAAGATGTCAACATACCTGTCAGATTTCTAGAAGAGTACACAAGAGCTAACGACCAAGGAAAGCTCAGAAGAGGGAGGAGTTTTTCACTTTATGCTCCTTCTATATGGTTTGAATTTTACACACCACCAATATCTATCTTTTTGCAAAAGACTTAAAAATTTCACTTACAGTTTAAATCATACACTCAGTAAAAGTTCACTGACAATTTCTTTCATATTCACTTAATCTCCCAGAGCTTACCTACTTTGATGATCTTCTGGCTTGGAGACGGAATACACTTTATCTTCTCCAGCTTTTTCAGATTCTTTTATTCTAAAACTAAAACAGTTTTAAAGTTTCAGATTTACATTCTCAAGAAACACATTAACTACGGCATCCCAGGAATGGTTATTCCACTGCCCTTGATGTTCACCTCCTCTGCCTCAGGCGTTTTGAGAAAAGCAGTGACAAATATCAACAGTTGTTGGAGCAGCAGGAGAGGTGTCACTCGTACCTTGAAGATCCCAACAATTCTGTGACCAGATCACTCGTCACAAAGGACCTCTTTCCGCAGCGTCGTTATCTCATGAGCTCTCGAAAACACTCGTCAACAACGGTGACGAGGGGCCCAACATTCACGCTCATTTCAATCGCTTAAAGTTAACTGGAGGACAAGACGCACCCCCGGGAGGGACACATTTTGCCAGTTTGAAGTGATAAATGTTAATTTAGGTCATTCCCATCCAAACGTCTGCCCATCCCCGTCCCGCCCCTGAAACGCTGGGGGACCCTGGGCCCGTTCTGCCCGAGGCCTCAGGACCGCGGCTCGGCCGTGAGACACGGGCGACCGCCCCTCCTCCCCTCCTCCCCTGACCCCGTCCTCCCCTCCTCCCCTCCTCCCCTCCGCCCTCCCGAGGCGCCGGCCCCGCTGCCCCCGGACGGCCAGCTGCCCGCAGGGACCACGGCGCCTGTGCGGCCGGGCGCGCGCGGGGCCCCTCCGCTGGGCAGCGAGCCCTCGACTCCCGCATCGCAGCCAGCGGGCCGGCGCCGCCCCCGGGACCAGGCCCCGCTCCTCGGACTCACCGCTCGACGGGCGCCCAGGCCGACCAAGCGCCGGCCTCCAGGGACACCGAGACCGCGGCGCCGCGCGCTCCGCCCTCGGGCCGGCAGGTGCGCAGGCGGGCGGGGCCTAGCGGACCCGACGGCGCAGGCGCAGTCTCCGCGCAACATTCAACTGCGCAGCGCCGGCCAATGGGAAAGCGCGGGGCCGCCGTTCGAAAGTAAACGGCCGGCGGCGCGCGCCGGGGCGGGGTCGAGGCTCCGGCAGCTCCGTGCGCCTGCGCTCTGCGAGCCCGCCCCTCTGGGAGCCGGGGCGCGCGGCCGGGGTGGGTGGGCGCGGAGGCGCTTCTGGCGGCGGCTCCCCGGCCGGGCTCACGGTGCGGCGGTGATGGCGCCGTGACCCGGGAGAGGCGAGCCTGGCGGCGGAGCCCCCCCGGGGCGAAGACGCGTCGGACCCCTTGAGCGGCGCCGGGCTCCGGCCGTGGCCCTGGCGCGCAGCGACGCCGTGGGCCGCCGCCTGCGGGAGCCTCCGCGCCGGCCCGAGAGCTGCGGACGGCCGGGGCCGCCGAGCCGGCGCGGACGAGCCCCGCACCCGCTCCGGACCTGCCGTTCGCGCTCCACCCGGGGCCTGTGTCCCCTCGGGGCCCCTGGAGTCAGAAGGCTGTTCTGTAGTCCTTTTCCCGCTCTTTCTTGAGAACCTTCCTCCCTCCCTGGCCCTGGACGCCCTGTCACTGCGGCCTCTCCTCCCTGGACCCTGCGGTCCCCTGACGGCAGGCAAGTGGCCGAGAGCCGTGGGCCACGCAAACCAGAGGGTCAGGCCGGCCCCGAGGCTGAGCTACGGCACACGGGGAGCGCGGGGTGACAGGGCGGCCCTGGGCCGTAGACTCAGCTTCTGGAACACGGAACTGTAGGGGAGGAAGACATTGCATCCACCCACTCTGGGTCCTTCTGGCCGGCTGCAAATTAAATGCACATGAGACAGAATAACAGGAGAAAATTAAAGCTTTATAACATGCATTCATGGGAGAGGCCCAGGCAAACTGAGCAACTCGCCAAAATGGCTGAAGCCACCACCTTAAGTATCATCTTCAGCTGAAGACAAAAGAGGATGTTGGGTGTGGGGAGGCCAGTTATGAGAGATGGCCAGAGAAGCACAGTAAACAAGAGCCAGGTTATTATGCAGGTTTAAGTCCTTGCCTTCCACATTGATAACAGTTTTAAGAGATAAGGTCATCCCCCCTTCTTCCTGGTACAGAGAGGGAGACACCTTTACAGATGGAGATTTCCTTTACAGTGTGTCTCTTACAAAGGGTAACTTCTACTTTTCAGAGCTTCTGTCATGTTGTTACTGAACCAGGTTTGCTTGTACCCACGGTCCAGAAAGCCAAACACCAAGACGATGAGATTGCAGCAGAGAGAGGGTTTACTCACAAGGCAGCCACAGGACGAAGCGAGAGCCCGAGTCTCAAATCTGCTTCCCTGAAAATAGGGACTCAGGGATGTTTATGGGTTAGGGAGCAAGGTGGTCTGAAATGTGGAGATGGGTGACTGGAGGTGAGGAGAGGTGAGGGAATTGATGGTCTGCACAAGTGTGGTCAGACTCCACGCCTCTTCGTAGGACCCATGTTCACAAAATGGCGGCGCTAGCATGACCTGAGGGTGCAGTTTTTAGCCTCTTGACATCAAAAGGTTGCAGATTGGACATCTGCGTGGGCCCAGTTGATGAGTTAGTGGTCTCAACTGGCCTGGAGTGAAGGAGGTGTCCTAATTCCTGAAAAACAGCTCACACACCCATTACCGTGGTGACCCAGGCTCCAGGGAGATGTTATCTGAGGAGCCTGGTGGCAGTCAGATAGCATATTGCCTAAACAGCACAGTTAACAATGGGCGGGTTAAACAGCTAAAAGCTATCATCAGTAATTGCAAAAAGGAAAAGACTTTAGTAACTACTTAATCATCAATGGCTGTTGCTGGTTTCAGTGTCAGCAGTTTTTAAAAGTAATCAGGACAAAATAATCATGCCACAGAGACACATTTTGGGGTGGCCAATTCCAATCCCCCACAGTCCCGCCTTTGAAACTTTAAGAAGTTTCATGGTCCAGAAGCTGAGTGGTACATTGTTTCATCTCACTGAACACATTTCTTAGTCCTGGTGATAGATCAGTCCAGTTAAATTCATTTTAGAATGTGGTGATGCAGGTGGGCTCCCAAAGTTAGGCCTATATTGTGGAAACAAGCACTCAGGGTTTTTTTGTTTGTTTGTGTTTTTTTTTTTTTGAGGAAGATTAGCCCTGAGCTAACATCTGCTGCCAATCGTCCTCTTTTTGCTAAGGAAGACTGACCCTGAGCTAACATCTGTGCCCATCTTCCTCTACTTTATATGTGGGATGCCTACCACAGCATGGCCTGCCAAGCAGTGCCATGTCCGCACCCGGGATCTGAACTGGTGAACCCCAGGCCACCAAAGAGGAACGTGCAAACTTAACCGCTGCGCCACCAGGCCAGCCCCCAGCAGTCAGGTATCTAATAAGAAGTATTTCTATGGAATTAAAAAGAAAAAAAACAAGGTTAACAGTTGGAGCAAGTTATAAACCAGTTCCTGAGCCCAGGGGGCAGCCAGTCAAGATTTCTAGATTTCTAGATGTCAGAGTCAAAGCACCTTTTGCAGCTTGAGACACCTCTGATGATGTCATCAGGTGTTCAAGTATCTTTCTGAGTGGTTTACAGTTTACACAGCAACAGACATATATCTCTGTTAAGTTTATATCAAGTTGTTCAGCTTCAGTTTGCAAGGCTTCAGGGAAAAGGGCACATTTAGTTCTCAATGATTCCAAATGAAAATGATGGAAAAAATTGAGAACATTAGTTTGGAGATTTGTAGCCAGATATTTCAGGAGACTAGAAGTATTCAGGATCCAGTCCACTTCACAGGTAGAAAACAAAAACCTCAAAGACAATTAACAGAACTAGGATCTAACATCCACAAATATGTATTATGGTTTTTTATTGAAACATAATTTTTCTCTCTAAAATCACCCTCATTTTTACCAAAGATAGCCAAATTAAGACTAACTGTTTTACAAAATGAGTTTAGTTTCAATAAACTTGGCCCAATTATTTACATAAGTACAGCAAGAATAGCCATTGATCATATGGGCTCTTGTAAATCTGCTTTCCTGGAACTTTTTATATGGAATCTCAGATTGAACTTTAAAGGCCTCTCAAGGCCAAGAAAGTCAAGCTAACGATTTGTAATCAGCTCTTGCTTGCAATACCTTAGATTTGGGTGAATTCCTCTCTTCTCTTGAGGTTCCCCAAAATATTTCAAGGTACCAGGTACCTGCCAGATAAGAGACCTTCCTTACTTACCTGGGGTAGGGTTGCTAGGAAACAAGGTACTAGGCCAATATTTCCAAGCGGCTTTATTCCATAAAGTCCAATCATTGTTTCTCAAAAGCTGTCTGGTCACATCTAGGTCGATGCCTATGTCTCTCAAATATGACATTCCAGTCAAAGTTTTGGTAAGATAATCAGTGTTTCCAATTGTGTCCTGTTATAAGGAGAACAGATTCTTATTGAACTTATGCAAACAACTATATTGTCATGCAAATAACAATACTTACTAAGAGTTTCCAAATTCTAGAGGGATCAGGTAGGGAGAAAAAGTAAATGTTTCAATTTTGTTTACAAAAGTATAATTTACCAAATTGCTATAAGTCATAGTTAGATTAAGAGAAAAACTTTTCCTTAAATCTGAAAAAACACCAAAACACTTTAAAAAATGAACAATATTTTAAACAAAAAAATCATAAAATTATAATCATCCTTATCAGTTCATTCAGTCCTGTGTAATTGATTTTTTTTATCTTAATCTTCTGTTAGCAATTCTATGGGGTCATCAGTTTCTCTGTTAGAATTCTGTAATTTTTTAACCAGTTCAGTTTTATAATCTGAAAGTTTATCAGAAAGCTGCATTCCAGAGTAAATGTCAGAGTTCTTTCCATGAATCTCTCTGAAGATGAAACATATTTGCAAAAGCTTCAGAGTAAAACAATAACTGTCTGTAAATGGCAAAAGACTCAAGAGCAATTGACAAAGAAACTTGGTTATTTCTGTGACATACAAGACTTTAAGATAATAATTTGAATTATGGCTGACAGCCTGGACAGATCAGAATTTTAGAAATGTTAGATAATTTCTAAAACTCCTATATCAATACCATTTACCCACATAATACCATAGGCCCCTTTGAAACAATGTTTAGTTATTCATTTAACCATAGTGACAATAAAGGTTTTTGGGTAAATCTGGAAGATTAAATAGCTGTAAGACATTAGCTCCTGTGAATAAAGACTTAATAAACAACACAGGAAATTTATTTTGATAAAACATAAAATCCATACCCATCTGCTACACTACTTAAAGAAAGAACTTCCCATAGTCTCTTCACCAAGAGCAGGCCAGAAGTTCGGGAAAATTATCCTCTGAGAGAAAACCAAATTTTCATTTTTGCACCAGCTTATTTTTAACATTAAAACATTCACTTAATTGGATTTACTTTAATCTTAGTCAACATGACCAGCATAAAACTCCTTTCAGAATTTCTCCTTCACAAACCTTCTGCAACTTTCTTTTTACATTCAGAATTTGTCCCTTGCTTCTTCTCTTTTAGTACTTTAGGACAAATTTACCTTTCTTAATAAACCAAAATATTTCCTTTTTTTTTTTTTTTGAGGAAGATTAGCCCAGAGCTAACTGCTGCCAATCCTCCTCTTTTTGCTGAGGAAGACTGGCCCTGAGCTAACATCCATGTCCATCTTCCTCTACTTTATACGTGGGACGCCTACCACAGCATGGCTTGACAAGCAGTGCCATGTCTGCACCCGAGATCCAAACCGGCGAACCCCCAGCTGCCGAAATGTAACATGTGCACTTAACTGCACCACCAGGCCGGCCCTATTTCCATTCTTTATACCTTCTTTACTGAAAACTTACATCTTACTTTCCTTGAATACAAATGTTTTCCTCATTAATTTCTAGTAGCTTTAATCACATATTAGAATTTTTAACCCTTAGAAACCTTAATTTTTA